CATATATGTAATATATTTTATTCAATATTAAAAATTAATCATAAAACTTACGGGAATCATCCAATTGGCCAAATCACCAGTAGCCGACACTTGCATAGCACCCAAAACAGTCAAATCCATATGACCACCACGGATCATGGCAAAACTGTCATCGGAACCGAAGAAAGAAGCACCAGGTACAACGGTAACAGTTTCCTTGCCAGCATTAATCAAATCAGGATCAACTTGATCCTTAGTGGGGAAGGGACCCAAACCCAAAATACCATTTTCCGATTGCAACATAACATTCATGCCCTTAGGTATGTAGTTGGAGGCGAGTACGGGCATACCAATACCCAAATTGGCATACATACCATCACGGAATTCCATGGCAACACGTTTAGCGATACGTTCACGTACTGCCTGAGCTGGTGTGGGAGCCGATTTCTTGGTAGCGTCAGTCTCGGTAATGCGTACTTTTTCGATACGTTTCTCATAGTTGGTACCCTTGAAGATACGCTTAACATAGATGCCAGGAATATGGATTTCATCGGGATCAATAGCACCTACGGGTACAATTTCTTCGACCTCAACAATGGTGACTTTAGCAGCACGGCACATAGCGGCATTGAAGTTACGGGCAGCCTTATTGAAAACTGTAATAAATAATATTTTAAATTAAAGAACAATTCAATATTTCATTCTTTTAATACAAACTCACCCAAATTGCCATAGGGATCAGCCTTTTGAGCCTTGACAATAGCGAAATCAGCAAACATAGCCTCTTCCATGACATAGTTTCTGCCATTGAATTCTTGTACTGGTTTTGGTTTGCTGGCAATTTCAACTTTACCATCTTTGCCGTATTTAATGGGTGCTCCACCAGCTTGAATGAGGGTACCATAACCGGTAGGTGTAAAGAAAGCGGGTACACCAGCGCCAGCAGCTCTAATTTTTTCGGCTAAGGTGCCTTGAGGTGTCAACTCAACAGCCAATTCACCGGATAAATATTGATTGACCAATTCAGCATTTTCACCTACATACGAAACAATCATCTTACCCAATTGGCGAGACTTCAAGAGAACACCCAAACCGGCGTCATCAATACCTGAAAGGGAAGAATGTTTAAAATGTAATCAGAACATAAAATTTAAGAAAAATTTTATTAAGTTTATTTTATGCTCCAGTCTATGTACTAGGCTATTGAATAGTGTATGGACTAGTCCATGGACTTTTCTTTTTGAATACTATATGGGATAGAGTTTTAACTAGTCCATGAACAAGTCTATGCACTAGTACTGAATATTGTAGAGGATAGTCTATGGGCTGGTTGAATGCTATATGGGCAAGTCTATTGATTAGTCTTTTAAATTTTAACTAGTCTATGCACTAGTTATTTACTACTCTACAGTCTAGTCCATAATTAAAGTATAATTTTAGGTTAATTTATAATTTACCTCCATTATTTGAAACAGCTGTTAAGTTTTTGGCACCCTTTTGTTTAATGGCTTCAATCATTTTTTCTGGTATGCCGCAAAGGCCAAAACCACCAAACAAGATTTTGGCACCATCGTGTAAATCGTGTACAGCATCAGCGGCACTTTCATAGATTTTACCTTTAGCTGGTTTACCACTGGTGGAATAGCAAGCGATTAGCTAAAAGAGACAAACACGTTTTTTTAAACAATTAATAAATTAAAAATTCTCAAAATTATAAAAATTCTTAAAATAATCTAAAAATAGCATAACGAACTTATCTTTAATTTTATTTTGATTATCTCTCAATTTTTGAGGAAATTTTTTTTAAATTTTCCGATAAAAAATATGTTGTATCATGCTAGACATGGCTGTTTGATAAAGGCTATACTTATGTTCATATATAGTTAAATCAGTTCTTATCAATAATTAAAAATATTCCTAAAGCTAAAAATTTAATTTAAAACGAAAAACTTCGATTATAATAACTCTATAAATAATCGTAAATAGATGGTACTTGAAACAATAAAATAAAGATTACTTATCAGATTTTAGAATATTTTCCTGAATTCAATGTTAGTTTTGTCTATGCTAGATCTTATTCAACAAACGGAGACACCTCCAGACAAACTTAGGCTTTTCATAAGATTTTCATAAACTATAGACTAGACTATAGACTAGACTATAGACTAGACTATAGTCTAGACTATAGACTAGACTATAGACTAGACTATAGACTAGACTATAGACTAGACTATAGACTAGACTATGGACTAGACTATAGACTAGACTATAGACTAGACTATAGACTAGACTATAGACTAGACTATAGACTAGACTATAGACTCGACTATAGACTAGACTATAGACTATAGACTATAGACTAGACTAGACTATAGACTAGACTAGACTATAGACTAGACTATAGACTAGACTATAGACTAGACTATAGACTAGACTATAGACTAGACTATAGACTAGACTATAGACTAGACTATAGACTAGACTATAGACTAGACTATAGACTAGACTATAGACTAGACTATAGACTAGACTATAGACTAGACTATAGACTAGACTATAGACTAGACTATAGACTAGACTATAGACTAGACTATAGACTAGACTATAGACTAGACTATAGACTAGACTATAGACTAGACTATAGACTAGACTATAGACTAGACTATAGACTAGACTATAGACTAGACTATAGACTAGACTATAGACTAGACTATAGACTAGACTATAGACTAGACTATAGACTAGACTATAGACTAGACTATAGACTAGACTATAGACTAGACTATAGACTATAGACTAGACTAGACTAGACTATAGACTATAGACTAGACTATAGACTAGACTATAGACTAGACTATAGACTAGACTATAGACTAGACTATAGACTAGACTATAGACTAGACTATAGACTAGACTATAGACTAGACTATAGACTAGACTATAGACTAGACTATAGACTAGACTATAGACTAGACTATAGACTAGACTATAGACTAGACTATAGACTAGACTATAGACTAGACTATAGACTAGACTATAGACTAGACTATAGACTAGACTATAGACTAGACTAGACTATAGACTAGACTATAGACTAGACTATAGACTAGACTATAGACTAGACTATAGACTAGACTATAGACTAGACTATAGACTAGACTATAGACTAGACTATAGACTAGACTATAGACTAGACTATAGACTAGATTATAGACTAGACTATAGACTAGACTATAGACTAGACTATAGACTAGACTATAGACTAGACTATAGACTGGACTATAGACTAGACTATAGACTGGACTATAGACTAGACTATAGACTGGACTATAGACTAGACTATAGACTAGACTAGATTATAGACTATGGACTAGACTACGCACTTGCCAAGGAATTTATCTATGAAATACTTAAGTATGTTTTATAATTATAAAACATTTATAAAAAGTACCAAAAATGCCGTAAAGCAATGAAAAAATTACAATAGTACTTCATTTTTCATGCCTGTCCTGATATCTAAAACGAAAAATACTAAAGCTAATTAGTTACTATACGGATTTGTGACTTTAACTATGACCCTTATTCTTGCTGGGGATCGGTCCCCCAAACAAACAAATTTAGATCTTCTAATGCAATTTTAATTTGCATTTAATTCTATTGTTATTGTAGTCTAATCAAATAAAGCAATAAATACAACAATAAAGTTGTTAATAAATTATAAAATTATATTTTTAAACACACATGAAAAGTCACGAAAGTCATTATCAGGGCAACCAAAAATATGCTCTAAAAAAAGTGTTTTATGCGCATAAAAAATGCACTTAAAAACTAAAAATATGCTCTAAAAATATGCAGAATATGCACTTAAAACTTCTCATTTTCAAAATGAAATCCCCGTTTTTTACCATATTTGAGAGCACATAAAAAAGTCCAATCTGTCGATTTAAAAATAAAGGTTTAACTCTTGTCATATCTCTATATTTCTTCGAGATATCTTAACTTAAAGCTTGGGGCAACCATAAAATTACAAAAACTCAATTTTGCCTTTATTCTATGCCAAACGTATTTGCCTCAATTTGTTCAACCTTTATTTTAAAGTCGACAGATTGGACTTTCGGACCACACAACGGATTTTATAAATGAAGGTGTCTTCTCGCATTTATAAGGTCTTAAATATGGCCAAAAACATGGAGAATTGGATTCGGATTAAGCGATGCTCAATAATTCAGAAAAGTAAACTTAGGTCTCTGGGTTTCGACTTTTTTTAAAATTTTGTTGGCCTATGTAATTTTCTAGGAAATGATATATATATAAGCTTAATTTTTTTGCTTTACATTAAATTGATTTATTTTTTTATATTTGAAAAACAAACAAGTAAGAATGTATAGTCGGGCATGGCCGACCAGTGAGTAGGGGGCCTTAATTCCGAAATATTTAAACAAAGACAAAACAACGCACAGTGGTATAGGAAAAAAAAAGAGGGAAATAATTCGATAACTTCTAAACGGTTAATCCGATTTTGATTTGGTATGCACAAAGAGGAAGTGTTGTCGAGTTTAGGTTTTGAATTTGGACCTTATAGGCCAACCAGGGGCCCGGCGGGGGTCCTCAAATTAGGACACATCGGCTATGTTAAATTTTTAAAACGATCCTATTTCTTCATTGAGTTCCGATTTAAAAAAAATTTCGTATTTAGAATCTCCTCATCGAGCACTATAAAAAATGTCGTCGGAAAACTCAACATCTTTTAGAAAATTTACATGGCACTATTATTTTCATCCATATATGTAACAAATTTAAGAGTTAACCTTATGGATGAAAATAATAGTGCTAGGTAAATTTTCTAAAAGATGTTGAGTTTTCCCTAATTAATTTGTCACTTAAAAAACATTAGGTAGGCATGTTATATATCAATGGAGAAGTAATTTTGTCTATTTTTTTCAAATCTGTATATAATTTTTGAAAATTAAAAAATTCGCGGAATACTTTAAAAAAAAAAAATTAAAAAATGTTTTTTATTCAGTTTTTGCGAAGATACAAATTTTTCAAATTGCAATAAAAATTTTATTTATGAATATTTTTTGATGAAATTTTACAGTTAGGTAGATTTTTTTACTCAAAATCCAAAATTAAATAAAAATTTCGAATTTTCTTATTAGAAATCCCAGAATTCCCAAAAAAGTTTTAAAAAATGCCAAAAATTGGATTTTTTGGTTTTTTGCCTATTATATCCATACCAGGGGCGGGGTTATCGAAACCCGATACAAAATGATTAAGAACATATTGGGTCATATAAAACAGGTCACTATAATTTGATATCGACTATGCGATTTGAGAATTTTTGTCTCAAAATTGAATTTTCATAAAAAATAGGGTTTTTTTGGATGGACCTGGTCCCCTCGGTATCAAAAATTTTTAGGTTTTGATTCATTTATCGTATTTTATGTAAAGTCAAAAGTATAAATTCTATATACATCTTCCTAGAAACTTTTTAGATAACTTAAAAAGAAAAAGATACTTTTTCCCCAAAAAAATGACAAAAAATCGCCTTTTTTTAATTTTAATAATTCTTTCACTGCTTGATATATAAACTTGTTGTTAAGCGAATAAAAAAAAAATGCGAAAATCGGGAATATTTGGACCCGCTATTATCAAAAAACTAAAGTAAGGACGGTAAAAATTTTAAAATTTTAATTTTCAAATGCGAATATCTCCTGAACTATAAGAGATAATTTACTGCTACGACATTTTTTATAGTGCTCAGAAGAGCTTATAAACGAAATTCAGGATTGGAGAGTTTCAGACGAGCACTCCTTTTCTGATCATCGGTACATAAGATTCAAAATACTAAGGCCACCACCAAAGCCGATAAAGTTTCGGAATAAGTCTAAAACTAACTAGAGGACAGTAAAACTCTGGTGCACTTTCTTTGCCACTGTCAGGCATTCGTCGAAGTATTAATGCAAAATTTCTCGTGATATTAGTGTTTATAAGTGAATTATTGACTTTCATGTCCTTTTCTGAAGGGGACTTTGTATGGGGGCAAGGGTGAAATGAGGTCCGATCATTACGAAAATTGGCAGTTTCGTATAAGTTAAAATACGAAACTAAGTTGTGCCGATTTTTGTAGAGATCCTGAAACATTTAACATAATTATGAGCTCGAGGGCCCTATTCGGGGGAAAGTGATTCTGAGCCGATTTTCGGGTGTTACAAGCATCAGCACAAACGCATAATATCATCCCCAGTATAGTGGTGTAGGGTATAAAAATGTTATTGAATTATAAAATAAAGCTTTATTTCAATCTTTTTCAAAGTGAATGGGTCAAAAAAATTTGACAAACAAAATTTTATCAATTAGAAGGAATTTAATTAAAACGTATGGGTTTAAAAATGTATGATTGGTGGAATTAAAAACATTTCATTTAAACTTTTATTTTCTAAATAAAATTTTCTAAAAAAAATCTAATAAAAAAATTAAAAACATTTTCTATTTATTAATTTCCCAAAAAAAATTTTGAATCTATTTTTATTTAAAAATTATAAAAAATATGAAAAAATTAGATGAAAACAACGAAATATGCAATAAAAATATGCGATTATGAGTAAAATATGCGGGAATATGCTGTAAAATGCAAAATAAGCAAAAAAATGCTGTAAAGAACAAAATATGCAAAAAAATGCTCTAACAAACCGATGCCAAAATTCATTAAATTTTCTGAAAAGGATAAATAGCTAACTCACGTCTCCACACGACGCGCAGCAAAAAATATGATATTGCATATTTTTGGTTGCCCTGGTCATTATAAAATCATACCACACGCAAAATTTTCGCACAACAACACTGCCTCAAATAAATTGGTAATATCAGTTATTAAGAGCATGAGTAACATTATATGTATTATAAAATTGTAATAAATTTAATTTAATGTTACTTCAAATTAAAAAATTGTTTAATAAAACATTTTTGTTCTATTCTGGTAGGTGCGATGTCAATAATATTTCAAAACTTTATTGAAACTATAAAATCGTTAAAAAAAAATCAATTATTTCTAATAACAAATATTTCATATTACTCTGTATATAGAGTATCTATTGTTAAAATAAAATGCAAATAAATAATATTATAAATACAGATAGGATAGGTATGTATGTCAATATGAATAGAGAGCATTTTAGATAAAAACTGCTTAGTAATGTAGTGTTTATATAATTCGTCGCAAACATTTATTGTTAAAATACAACAATAACAAAATAAATTATTATTCTAACACAGGGAAGTCTTGCGATTTTATTTGTATACATATACATATATTTTTTTAATTTTCTTATCTTCAAACAAAATACTCATTCTAAAAACTTGAATAAGCAACAATTTAAATGTTTAAATTAATTTTGAGTACTAACACATTAATGAGAACTTCTCTGCTCTTTTTTTTATAAAAAAAGAGATATTGTTTTAGTATTTTATTTTAACAACAAATACTTACATAAATAAACAAATAAGTTAGAAAACAAATAAGAAATAAGTTGGTATTTTTTTTTTTTATTGTTTTAAGATTTTTTTCACCTTTATCAATTTTAACCTAAAGATCTTTTATTATGATTTCTTTAAATAATAGAATTTTTTAAATTTTTTTTTAATTGTCAAAAAATTTACTGGATACTCTTACGAATACAAATCTATATACATGGATTCAATTATAGACCAACACAATGTTTTTATTGAAATTTTTGTCTATTCGTACTAAGTAGGTGTGCAAAATTTTGTACGAGTTAATGCTCCGTCCACTTTTAAGAATATATTTAAATATAACTGTACAAATTACTTTCTTCTATTATGTAATATCCGGTATGTTTTACTTAAAATTACAATAAATTTAAGAAATTAATGCTACTACATATTGAAAAAACCTAAATAAAATTTCTAAAAGAAATTGCACATATATTATTTTAAATCATGATACAACCATAGATTATGATTTTAAATTATATTTTTATTTTTAAAAAATTATATTTTATATATAAAATTCCCGGGCAAAAATTAAAAAGAAACGTGTTCCATCATTGTTGCCATTCCCTGATAAGATGTAGATGTAGTTATTAACAAATTTGAGAGTTAACCTTATGGATGTAAATAATAGTGCTAGGTAAATTTTCTAAAAGATGTTGAGTTTTCCCTAATTAATTTGTCACTTAAAAAACATTAGGTAGGAATGTTATATATCAATGGAAAGGTAATTTTGTCTATTTTTCAAAACTGTATATAATTTTTGAAAATTAAAAAATTCGCGGAATACTTTTTTTAAAAAAAATTAAAAAATGTTTTTATTCAGTTTTTGCGAAGATACAAATTTTTCAAATTGCAATAAAAATTTTATTTATGAATATTTTTTTGATGAAATTTTACAGTTTGGTAAATTTTTTTGCTCAAAATCCAAAATTAAATAAAAATTTTGAATTTTCTTATTAGCAATCCCGGAATTCCCAAAAAAGTTTTAAAAAATCCCAAAAATGGGGTTTTTTGGTTTTTTGCCTATTATATCCATACCAGGGGCGGGGTTATCGAAACCCGTTACAAAATGATTAAGAACATATTGGGTCATATAAAACAGGTCACTATAATTTGATATCGACTATGCGATTTGAGAATTTTTGCTCAAAATTGAATTTTCCATAAAAAATAGGGTTTTTTGGATGGACCTGGTCCCCTCGGTATCAAAAATTTTTAGGTTTTGTTTCATTTATCGTATTTTATGTAAAGTCAGCTTTCCAAAAAGTATAAATTCTATATACATCTTCTTAGAAACTTTTTAGATAACTTAAAATAACTTTTCCCAAAAAAATGACAAAAAATCGCCTTTTTTTAATTTTTTAAATTAAAATGCCTATAACTTTGGACTCAGTCATGATTTTTACATAATTCTTTCACTGCTTGATATATAAACTTGTTGTTAAGCGAATAAAAAAAAATGGCGAAAATCGGGAATATTTGGACCCGCTATTATCAAAAAAACTAAAGTAAGGACGGTAAAAATTTTAAAATTTTAATTTTCAAATGCGAATATCTCCTAAACTATAAGAGATAATTTTTTATAGTGCTTGATGAGGAGATTCTATATACGAAATATTTTTTAAATCGGAACTCAAATGAAGAAATAGGATCGTTTTAAAAATTTAGCATAGCCGAGGTCTGCTAATTTGAGGACCCCCCGCCGGGCCCCTGGTTGGCCTATAAGGTCCAAATTCAAAAACCTAAACTCGACAACACCTCCTCTTTGTGCATACCAAATTTCATTAAAATCGGATTAACCGTTTAGAAGTTACCGAATTATTTCGCTCTTTTTTTTTTCCTATACCAATGTGCATCGGTCTATTAATAACGGTGATATAATAGAAATTCCAAAAAAAAAAACAATTTCATTTATAATTTTCGATAAATAAAAGAAATATCATTCATTGATTACACAATGCATAGGAAAAGAACTATGTGTTTTTGAGTTAAATCAAAAAATTTGAGATTTGTCTTGTAAAAATTATGTAAAACAATTATTGAAGATTTCGATACTATAATCGAAAAATGTGAATATTACAAACAGAAAGTCTAACATACATATACATACATATATAAATATACCATTCTCACGGAAGTTACGAACAAAATAATTGGATCTACGCCTATCTGAGGATGTTACAATCTTTCTGTTTCTACTTAACAATGTCTGTCCGTCCCTCAACTTCAACGGATGATACATATCTCAGCAGCAACAACAGATATTAAAACAATTCAAAAAGTATTTTCATAGGAAAAATGTAAAAAATTGAAATTGGAAATTGGAAAATAAGAACGAAATGCTCGAAAAAACACAGTTTTTGTCAATTTATTGTTATATCAAGTTTTAGATGAAGACATCTTAAAAAAAGAAAGCAGAATGGACTTTCAGATGGCATACAACATTTTATAAATAAAGTTATAACGTCTTAAAAAGGACCAAAAATTGCGTTTTTTTTTAACTTTAGGACACGATATAGGTATCAAATCCGAGATTTGATGGAGAAATTCTGAGTCCAGTTTCGTAAATTTGTCGACCTGTGTAATTGTTAAGCTAGATTAAAGAATTAAAATGTCCTTTTTGAAGGTTTTTATGATTTTTCATATTTTTTTAATCCTTTTAATCCTATGACCCAATTCTCCAAATATTGACGCCAAGACAAAATTTTTGAAAAATGGTATCTTAGAATGAACCAAGCTTTACATCATACAAAGAGTGCCACCCTAATGTAGCTATATGTACATATGTATGTTGTACTGCTTCTAATTTATGCTACTAGGTATATCAAAAATGTTATTGTGGCTCCAATTTGTTTTGGATAAAGAAATTTATTTAATTTTAAAAATCGAATATAGAAAAGCTAATTCTTACTTAAAGTCTCTTACGCTTTAAAAATAAAATATATAATTTTAATTAGATAATTAATTAATACCTTTAGGTATCTGTGCATTACATAATATTTTACTTTAAAATTTTACATTTTAAATAAATTTTTACAACACCTTTATATAAAAAATAGGCTTAGAAGTTTACAATTATTCAATAATAAAAATATTTGCATTTAATTTAAAATTTTAAAAAATATCTTTAAAAATTAAGAATTAATTTTATTATTTTTATTTGACAACACTGTTTAAAAGCAGTCAAGATAAAATAATAAAATTAACTAAATTAAAAAACCATAATAAAACTATATTAAGAAAAACAACACATGATCTTAAAAAAAAAATATGTAAAAAAGTATAATAAGAATATTAAACTTGTTTACAATAACAAAAATCTAAAAAAAATAAAACACGTTTATTAATGAATGCAAAATTTTCAGCAAATTGTCAATAAGAATAAAGCCAAATCAGCATAAATTTATAGAATGTGGTTCATTAAAATAGAATAAAAATAGTTATTGATATTAAATTTTCTTTTTAAATTTAGAGCAAAATCTCTAGAACAAGTTTTATCTATTGGCGGAGATTCTAATGCAAAGGAAGTAAGTGACGCGTACAAAAACTAATTTTGCGCGTGCAACTAACTAGTTTTTTATTAAATTGCGTAGTTGTTGTTGTGGTCACCAGCTACGTAACATAATTCATGCGTAATTTATTTTCCAAGTGGTCATAATTGTTAAAATCCAAAAACTTTCCATGACATTTCAGAATTTTAATAATTTTCCACTCCGGTACTCTCTTTAATCACATGCATTTTACCTACACCCATCCAACTATCCATCCTTGTTTAAATATTTTCTTACCTTAAAGGTGGTGTTTTTGTTGTAAAGACAATTGTTTAAAAATACACGTCTAGCTTGTTGCACAAACATTTTTGTTAATTATTAATAAGCTGCCCTTTCTTCAAAATTCCACGTTTGGTTAATTATTTTTTTAAAATTTAGTTTTAATTTTGAACTAAATCTCTACAGTACACACACACAAAATGATCTGCACACTAAACGAGTCTCTTAAGAACTGAATTTTTTTAAATTAGCAAGAAAAAAATTCTATATTGGGAAAATTATAATTAAGAGAAAAAAGCTTTAATTTTAGAAAAGCTTTTTGAAATCATATTCATACAAAAATAAAATTAAAACACAGATGTTTATACAGCTGTTCAATAGTGTTGTAAAACGTCAACATATAAATCATTAGACGCGTACATTAATTTTATAAATTTCAATATATATTTTTTGTTACTAATTGAAAAAAAAATAATTTTTAAAACAAATTTCAAAATAATAAAAAAAAATTAAAATATAGTGGGGTCGGAATAGAGTGAACACTAAATAATGAACTACAATAATGAATATGAATACCTAATTGTTACATTAGTCACCCGAAAGCGAGAACAGTGTAATTTTCGACTTAATTTCTTATGAAATAATTCATAAAAAATTTGTGCTTGTAGTTAGAAAATTTTCTGAGAACTAGGGTTCTATAGATGAAACGAAAAGTCGGCTTTTCGACTTTTTTTATTTAGTTAAAAGTCGACTTTTTTCGACTTCTCGATTTTTTTTGACTTTTTTCGATTATTTTTTGACTTTTTACGAGTTTTTCCGACTATTTTAGAGTTTTTGACTTTTTTTCCACTCTTTTAAAATTTCCGACTATTTTTGACTTTTTTCTAAAATTTTTGAGTTTTCGACTTTTTCCGACTTTTCGACTTTTTACGACTTTTCGACTTTTTTCGACTTTCTTCGACTTTTCGACATTTTTCGACTTTATTCGACTTTTCGACATTTTTCGACTTTTCGACTCTCCGACTTTTCGACTTTTATTAACAAAGTCGACTTTTCGACTTTTTTCACAGACGATAGTCGAGTTATCGACTTTTTTGGAACAAAATAGTCGACTTCGACTTTTTTGGAACAAAATAGTCGACTTCGACTTTTTTCGACAAAAAGTCGATTGTTCGATTATTCGAAAGTCGATTTATAGAGCCCTACTGAGAACTACTTGACTGTATAATTTTTTTTTTTTTTTATTTCCATAACATTTTTAAAATTATACATATGTATATAAAATTTTTTTCGATATAATGCACTTAAGTCCACAACAATATTTAAGGGAATTTGATCCATACAAATCACAAAAAATTTTAATTTAAATTAAGACTTCGATTTCGAATCCAGAAAAGCTCAATTGAAGGAAAACTTCAATTAAAATTTTTTAATTTCAAAAATAATAATTGAAATTGATTATCAGAAAAAATCAATTGGAAATGAGATTTTTTCCTTTGAAATTGAGAAAAGAACAAGCGAAAATGAATTCTGTATGAAACTCGAAAAAGAACAGTTACATTATTTCATACTTTTTCATTTAAAATTTAACATTTTCCGCATTCAAAAATAAAAATTTTAACAAAAAGTAATGTCAAAAACATAAATTGATTTCTTCTTTAATTGTGTTGAAATCTTCAATTCAATGTAATTGAAATGAATTTCATTATTTAAAAAGATAAAATATGGAAAAAAATTTCAAAGCTAGTACAAACACGATAATTTAATATGTATGTGTTTAAATTCTTTGACATGATGTATACTTTGTGTCATTGAGTTGACTCCGTGTACGTAGCACGGAGTCAACTAACGCATTTTTTCTAACAAATACGCGAATAGACCTAAATAAATTAAAAACCATTTTCAACACTGTTTTTAATAACTCATACAACTCTGTCATTCGAACAGTTGTTTTTTTATTTACATCTGTTTTTTGTTTTCGTTTTCTATTGCGTTTCTTTTGTTTTTGTTATTGTTTTTCCACTGCATTTTAGCACTGTTGTTCTTTGAACATATTTTTAGCATTCATTTTCAGTATTTACGTTGGAACAGAAAGTTGATAAAATCGCAAAAATATTTAAAATTAAAATCCCTAAAGGTGATTTACATTTACAAAAAACAAAGAACTTTGTATAAAATACAAAAAGTATTTAAAATATTATAATAAATTTAAACTAAAAGTGTTAACAACAAATAAAATTAAAGGAAAATAATAAAAAAGTTTCATTTAGAAAGCTTTAAGTGATTTTAGTTAAAATTGCAGTTAAAAGAAATGATAAAAATAGTGTTTGTTAATAAAACTAAGAAAAAAAGATTTTAAACAAATTGAAAAAGTAATTGGTAAGTTTTTTAACATTTAATTATTGGAAATCGTTGCAAATGATGAGCTCATTTTATAGGTGATAAATTTAAAACGCAATTTCATAATTTTTAAGTTTTTCATGATATTTTTGATTTATTTTCGAAAAATTTATTGTTTCATTGCAATTACGTTGATGAACATTGTATTTCATTTTTATTGAAGAAGATAAGATGAAATAATGTATGGAGATGTTAATGTATATACGAATATACATACATAGTATGTATGTTGATTGGTGGCCTCCTTCTTCTTTAATAATTTCTTATCATCATTATTTTCACATTCAACTAGTCAGTCATCCAAATGGAGCTACCAACGAACAAACCAACCGACCAACATACTGACCAACCAACCACTTCTTTAGAGATTTTCTTCTTTTTTCTTACACAAAGTCAAGTGTAAGTAATGTTGGAAAGCAGCTGTTTGGTATTGTATGCATATTTTGATGCTAACATCGCCAATCATGACATCCATATGATAACACTGGGTTACAACAATTTTGCAAAATCGAGGGAACATCGGAAATAAGTTTTTTAGTTGAATTATATACATAGTTGATCGTTTGCAAGTACAGCTTTGGAAGAAGTAATTCTCTTATTCTTTTTAAAATTAGAATTATCTATAGATAGAATTATAGATAGATAGATAGATAGATAGATAGATAGATAGATAGATAGATAGATAGATAGATAGATAGATAGATAGATAGATAGATAGATAGATAGATAGATAGATAGATAGATAGATAGATAGATAGAAGAAGATAGATAGATAGATAGAATATAGATAGATAGATAGATAGATTATAGATAGATAGATAGTAGATAGATAGATAGATATAAGATAGATAGATATATAGATAGATAGATAGATAGATAGAAGATAGTAGATAGATAGATAGATGATAGATAGTAGATAGATAGATAGATAGCTAGTAGATAGATTAGATAGATAGGATAAGATAGATAGATAGATAGATATATAGATAGATAGATTGATAGATAGATAGATAGATAGATAGATCGATGATAGATAGATAGATAGATAGATAGATAGCTAGATAGATAGATAGATGAGAGAGAGATAGATAGATAGATAGATAGATTAGATTAGATAGATAGATAGATATATAGATAGATAGATAGATAGATAGATAGATAGATAGATAGATAGATAGATAGATAGATAGATAGATAGATAGATAGATAGATAGATAAATAGATAGATAGATAGATAGATAGATAGATAGATAGATAGATAGATAGATAGATAGATAGATAGATAGATAGATAGATAGATAGATAGATAGATAGATAGATAGATAGATAGATAGATAGATAGATAAATAGATAGATAGATAGATAGATAGATAGATAGATAGATAGATAGATAGATAGATAGATAGATAGATAGATAGATAGATAGATAGATGGATAGATAGATAGATAGATAGATAGATAGATAGATAGATAGATAGATAGATAGATAGATAGATAGATAGATAGATAGATAGATAGATAGATAGATAGATAGATAGATAGATAGATAGATTAGGTTAGGTTAGGTACAGTTGTACAGCTTAAAATTAAAAACTTATTTTGTTAAAGCTTTTTCTTTTCTCCAGAACACAGTGTAATTATTCGTTATAGTGATTTCTTTTGCTTTTTGTTCATTCTTAAAGTAAGTACTGTTGTTGTGTTTCGGTTGATTGATTGTCTTAGACAGACTAACTGACAGACGGAACATTTGCTAGGCAGCATGAATATTAAATAGCCAGTCAGTATAAAACTAGACTCAATATCATCATCAGCTCTAGTAGTCTTATCATATTTAATTGCATTCATAGAACGACCTATGTTATTATTTTTTTATTATTATAATTCTTCTCGTTGTCGTTCAACTAAAACAATTGCTATTTTGTGGTCAATGGCTTTTTTTCCTTTTGCAGTCTTAATAATTCTACAACATGCAAGTTAATTTCCATATTAAATAAGTACATACATGTTTTATTCTCACTTCGAATTTTTCTTTTATTTTTATTGTTCCTTTTAAGCTAATATACAATATTATTGATTTTGTTTATAATAATTGATGTTGGTCAGTTTTGTAAAGTGTTTTTTTTTTTAATAAATAAATATACACAACGGCTTTACAAGCAAAGAAGAAAATCTGTAATGAGTTTTGCTAAATAATGTGTAAATTTTTTTGATAAGACTGCTAATGAAATTTAATCTAATGTTTTAATGTGGGTACATACTTTTTTAATGTTAATTTAAAATACATGCATATGTAATTATTTTTAGGAATAATAATTTTGGAAAGTGGTTTTCAAAAGTGTTAAAGGCTGCTGTATAGTAAAGTTTTAAGTGAAGAGTAAGAGTTTTAAGGAAAAACACTTTTGGTGATTCTGTCCATTTGAAAATAATAAAATGTTATATATAATTGGTTTATATTCTATTACACTAATTTACCGGCACCAATATTTTAAGCTGTTTCGAAAACGATTTTGAAAGATTAAATTAAAAGAACTGGAATAATAATAATAATAATACTTTTCTTAGAAACTATAACTGTAATAATTTCTGTAACAGTAATTGAATAACTCTCTACTTTAGAAATCAGAATAATCCAAAAAAAATTTCTTAGTTATTGGGAATACCTCTTTAAAATGACAATAAGTCAATGATTAAAGTTAGTAAATCCACTTTACAAGTTTAAAATTATTATGATTCTTTTATCATTATAATGTAAAATTCAACAAAAATAATTTCACTAAATAGAAGTGTATTAGGTTAAATTAAGTTCAAATAAATTACTGTTTGAAATAAACATTATCAATCTAGTTATTTGTAATATATATTATATAAAACCAATTAGAAAAAATTTTTTATAAAAAATATTATAAGTTGCTAAGTCAACAAACTACAATCTGTTACTGTGCTTTGCAAATATAACTATATACTATACTGCATATAATTACCACTAGGCTTGTTTCATTCAAAAAAATGTTATTCGAATAATTGAGGAGAAAAAATATATATTTTTCTAAATTAATATTTTTTTTAATTTAAAATAAATAATTATTCTCGATGTTCAATAATAATAGAATATGGGAGAGGTGCGATCGATACGTATTGCATTTTGTTGTTAAAAGCCCCACGAACATGTCTACCTGTTCTTAGAATCTATTAAGGATCCATAATATATGTAAATATTTTCGTGGGTCTTCCATCAATATTTCAGAGTAAACTTTCCTCACAATATATGCTACAAATGTATTCCTTTTATGTACATACATATAAATAATTAAATAAATTTTAAAATAATTGTATTCGATTAACTTTAAACCCGTATAGTTGAGACCAGCCTAGTATCTATTAGTTAATACATACATACATACATATGTATATTGTTTCTCAACCCGGCATTATTATTTATTTATAATCTTAAATAATAGCTTACATTTTCTTTTTTTATTTATTATAGTAATGTAAGCAGTTTCCCAGCTTTTTCATTTTTTTTATTTATTAATATAAAATATAATCAGTGATTATTTTATTACATTTTCGCCTTTGACCAGTTTAGGAACTATGTACTTAAAAATTTACAATTAATTTTCATTATGCAAAAAAAAAAAAACTCTTAATTTGTAGTTAAAATTTGTTAGTTCGTAATTTCTTAACTGCTTACATTCTGTGTAAGTATATTTTTCCAACTGATTTATTACTTTTTTATTACTAAAATTTTATAAATTGGCAAAAAAAATAAATTAACAACATGGAAATATTATCATGCATGGATGAATAAAAATATAAGCAAAATTTTATAAATGTGTAAGTAAATTATTTACTTAATTTTATAAAATTACACTACTCTACGTCTAAATAGGTAACGTTAAAAACAAATCCCCCAAAAAACATATTTCTGGCCGTATTTTCGAATATATAGCGAACATATATTATTATTTTTATTTTGATATACATATTGCCTATGTATACCTGTACATATCCAGCAAACATATCGTCCAAAATATATTAAAAATTCTGAAAATCATGGTCTTATAGAATTTTTGCTCATAACTCCATAATTTTTGAAGCGATTTTCCTAATTTTTAATAGCAAACATCTCATAAGCATTTAGATACTAAAGATATTTGGAATATTAAAAAAACATACATACAGATCGAGATCGATACGTCAATTTTGCTATCTATAAAAATTGTAGAAAAGGCAATAACAAACTTATTTATACACTTCTCTTGAAGGTGATGGGTATAAAAAATAATATTTATAACTAAAATATACGATAAATTACACTTCAAATTCATCTCTCAATACACATACTGTTTCACGTGTTGTGTAGCATAAATTAACTTTTAGAGCGGGTTTTTGAGATGGCAATCAAATGTCAATTAATAATCAGATTAGTTAATCAGAAAATAAATTTAATCTTATGTTTTGCCATACAAAACAACAGAAAACGTCACTGTTTGTTATCAAAACAATGCATATTTTATAAAAAAGAAGAAGACAATTGTAAATTTAATATGAAAATTAATGAAAACTTAAATTAAAAACAAAAAAATGTATTTTGAAGTGTCCATAATTTATACTAATCAATAAATAGAACATTTTAATGTTTATATTTGTAAAAATAGTATTAATTTTTTTGCATCAGCTGTTTACACCTCGTGCTTAAGTTTAAACCACCTCCATTGGGCGCTTAAACTTGCAAACAAAATTAACTAATTGAGTACTCAAAAACATCTTTCGAGGATTAATTTTAATTTAATCGCTAATCTTTCACCTAAAGATTGGCCCTTAGAATAATACGAAAATTAATAAAAATTCAAATCCAAACCGTTAAAAAAATCCATTGTATCTGAATAATACTCGGTTTTAAATTTTTATAAAGTATGTCATTTACTATTATCTCTTAATTTTTTTTAGCAACATGACTTTATTTTTGGCAGCCGTTAAAGTGAATCATATATTTTATAGCAATTAATTTATAATAAAAACTTTTTTATATATAAATAATTATAAATTTTAAACTTATGTATATGTATGTGCCAGTAGTATAGCATTTAAATCAAAACTACTCTTGTCATATTATGTCTTGCACTGATCTACAGTTGTGATAGCATATCACTCATACTCTCTGTTTACAATATTTTCATCTTCCTCTCTCTGTTAAAGTCAGTTGCTCTTATCGTAAATACGCTGTATGCAAAAAAAAAAAACTTATTACACTATACTTTAATACTACATTTAAAAACAATTCTATTTTAAAATGATTTTATTTGGCTTCCAATACACCAGTTTATTATAAACTCTAGCCATTGAAACATCAGAACGCAGTTGCCGGTAAAATTATTTCATCTTCGTTCAACACTTTAATGGTTGTCATATAAATAACCATAAATAAAACAAGTACATAGTGGAGGAATCTGCATATATGTATGTACATAAATAGTAGTAGAAGTTAGTGCAAGAAAATATCTGACAATAAGTCGGTTAAATTACATATTTCTTTTTTTATTTTTAGTTATGTGTCGAAGGTGGTAATGAAGTTTATGCCTCTTGATTACATTGTATTGTTGTTGACTATTACTTCTGTTGTTGTTTGTCCTGCTGCGGCTGATGCTGCAAATACTGGCTACTGCTGGTGCTGTTGGTATTGATGCGCTGTGTTATCTTTGCCGTTGTTTAGTTTATTGTTTTAGTTTACACTGCTAGTTGCCATGGACTCAACTTGTATTGGCAATAATCAGCAGCAACAACAACAAGAACAACAAGTTTATCATCAGCATTATGCGGAATACAAGTTACTATTCGATACATTAAAAAACATTTGGCAGAATTATTTGCAGTCCTTCAACAATGTCGATGTCAAGGTAATTATATAAATTCCTTCTTTGCACTTACATACATACATATGTACCCAGCAAAAAAAGGCGTGCAAAAAAAGTAGTAAATACATGGGTTCAACTGATAATGAACTGGTTCATATTTAGGTGAAACATGCATGATTTTAACATTAGCGTGTCATTGGCGTGCATGGGTTCGTATTTGGAAAAATAGTTCGGCATTAAAATGAGTGCTTACAACCAATGAACATCCGATGATTCTCAAGCGAATTTTCATTGGTGCACTATATTTATTTTAAAATGCATTATTAAAGGTATTACGAATTAATTATTAATATTTAAATTAATATTTTAGCATGATATTGATAAAAATTAAATGTGATAACAAAATAAAACAAATTTTGAATTGCATTAAAATTCATTCGAAGTAAAAATACCCATTATAATTTAAAATCAGTCAGTCAAATGGACTTAATATTACTAATTTAACAAATATTAAATACAAAAATCTAATAAAATTAATGTTATTTTTAAATTTGTTGTATGAAATGCACGTTTCCTTTAAATTCTAAGAGTATACCAAATTATAGTGATATATTACAGTTCCTATAGTAGAGTTACATGAGTGAATTGGGTGCAATTTTTCATGCCTTCACTTATGACAAATTTATTAGAATTTAGGCATGTATTTAGAACGCATTAAATTGAATACGTACTAAAGAAATCATGAAAATATCCCTTCTTCTTGAACAACTTCAAAATTTTTTTGCTGGGTATATCCCGCATTTGCTTTTAAAGGGTCGTAACTCCAAAAATATAATTTCAAGAAAGACTCTTAAGACATTTTAACATTATTTGTGAAAATAATTAACAATCAAATTATTCATCTTTCTTACATGTTTTCATAATAATAAAAGATTAAACTATTTATCTAAAAGATTTAATTTAGGTATATGTATATTTTAAAATAACCGAATTTTGAGTTAAGTCTCTTTAGAGGAAAATAAGCAATATATTTTATATGACAAATATCTCTTGTTTAAAGTAGTAGATTGTTGTTTGTATTATTGATTTTTATAGTAAACGATAATATATTAATTTTGATTTTATTTTTATTTTACATCTCTTTCTCAGCAACATTGGTTACAATTGTTTTTATTTAACTTTCAATTTGTCTCCGAGGAATTACTGGAAAATGAAGAATTTAAAAGGTATTTATATTGTACAATGTATATACTATAAGTTTTTGTTACAAGATTGTAATTTAACTTGAAAATAATTTAAAAATCATGATAATTTCTAGTCTAGTCTATAGTCTAGTCTATAGTCTAGTCTATAGTCTAGTCTATAGTCTAGTCTATAGTCTAGTCTATAGTCTAGTCTATAGTCTAGTCTATAGTCTAGTCTATAGTCTAGTCTATAGTCTAGTCTATAGTCTAGTCTATAGTCTAGTCTATAGTCTAGTCTATAGTCTAGTCTATAGTCTAGTCTATAGTCTAGTCTATAGTCTAGTCTATAGTCTAGTCTATAGTCTAGTCTATAGTCTAGTCTATAGTCTAGTCTAGTCTATAGTCTAGTCTATAGTCTAGTCTATAGTCTAGTCTATAGTCTAGTCTATAGTCTAGTCTATAGTCTAGTCTATAGTCTAGTCTATAGTCTAGTCTATAGTCTAGTCTATAGTCTAGTCTATAGTCTAGTCTATAGTCTAGTCTATAGTCTAGTCTATAGTCTAGTCTATAGTCTAGTCTATAGTCTAGTCTATAGTCTAGTCTATAGTCCTAGTCTATAGTCTAGTCCTATAGTCTAGTCTATAGTCTAGTCTATAGTCTAGTCTATAGTCTAGTCTATAGTCTAGTCTATAGTCTAGTCTATAGTCTAGTCTATAGTCTAGTCTATAGTCTAGTCTATAGTCTAGTCTATAGTCTAGTCTATAGTCTAGTCTATAGTCTAGTCTATAGTCTAGTCTATAGTCTAGTCTATAGTCTAGTCTATAGTCTAGTCTATAGTCTAGTCTAGTAGTTCTAGTCTATAGTCTAGTCTATAGTCTAGTCTATAGTCTAGTCTATAGTCTAGTCTATAGTCTAGTCTATAGTCTAGTCTATAGTCTAGTCTATAGTCTAGTCTATAGTCTAGTCTATAGTCCTAGTCTATAGTCTAGTCTATAGTCTAGTCTATAGTACTAGTCTATAGTCTAGTCTATAGTCTAGTCTATAGTCTAGTCTATAGTCTAGTCTATAGTCTAGTCTATAGTCTAGTCTATAGTCTAGTCTATAGTCTAGTCTATAGTCTAGTCTATAGTCTGGTCTATAGTCTAGTCTATAGTCTAGTCTATAGTCTAGTCTATAGTCTGGTCTATAGTCTAGTCTATAGTCTAGTCTATAGTCTAGTCTATAGTCTAGTCTATAGTCTAGTCTATAGTCTAGTCTATAGTCTAGTCTATAGTCTAGTCTATAGTCTAGTCTATAGTCTAGTCTATAGTCTAGTCTATAGTCTAGTCTATAGTCTAGTCTATAGTCTAGTCTATAGTCTAGTCTATAGTCTAGTCTATAGTCTTGTCTATAGTCTAGTCTATAGTCTAGTCTATAGTCTAGTCTACAGTCTAGTCTATAGTCTAGTCTATAGTCTAGTCTATAGTCTAGTCTATAGTCTAGTCTAATCTATAGTCTAATCTATAGTCTAGTCTATAGTCTAGTCTATAGTCTAGTCTATAGTCTAGTCTATAGTCTAGTCTATAGTCTAGTCTATAGTCTAGTCTATAGTCTAGTCTATAGTCTAGTCTATAGTCTAGTCTATAGTCTAGTCTATAGTCTAGTCTATAGTCTAGTCTATAGTCTAGTCTATAGTCTAGTCTATAGTCTAGTCTAGTCTATAGTCTAGTCTATAGTCTAGTCTATAGTTTAGTCATAGTCTAGTCTATAGTCTAGTATATCTATATTCTAGCCTATAGTCTAATCTATTGTTTATAGTCTAGTCTATAGTATTGTCTATATGTATGTAGTCTAGTCACAGCTTAGAGATTATTTTAACAGCTTTTAAAAAGCGTATATTCTGAAACCCAACTGTGTAAACACATACTTTAAGAATCATTATAATTTTAAAATAATTTTCAAAAACTTTATATTCGAAATTGGAAAACTTTAGTCCACATGACATAACGATTATTTTAACAGCTTTAAAAATCATTCAAACATAAGTTCGATTTTTCGAAATTATCTTAAAAAGCTCATATTCTGAAACTAGATTGAGAAATGTAAGCAGTTAGCCTCGAATTAAATGAAAATTGTATTTTTAAGAATCCTTATGTTTTAGAGAATTTGAACTTTTAATATACATATTTTTGATAATCGAAAGAACATGATTTGTTGAAAATATGTTTTTAATAAAAATCCCATCCTGGGAAAAACTCTTATTTTGTTTATGTTGTTTTTGTTGCCAATTTTAAATCTTTATTTTAATCCCTTTACAGTTTCTTTAATCCCATACCTGAGGAGTTATGTTCATATCTGTTAGAACAAATCTATGAAATAATCAGCAAATCCGATCTCTTTATACCAACTGTGGATAGTTTCAAAACAAGCGAAAACTCTAGTGATAAATATGAGGAAAGTGATATTGATGAAAAACAAACGTCTGAAAAGAATAAACAATTTTTACAATTATTAAAAAAGAATCACAATTTTGCACAGGTAAAAATGCAATTGACAAATAAACGATTTGCTGCCCTTCATTGAATTGGTAATTTTATTCCAGCTAATACTCAAACAACCCAGTGATTGTAGCAAAATAATAGCATTGAGACAATTTTTAACCCATCAATTGGGACAGCATCTGTTGGAATTCTTATTAAGGGTAGATATTAAGGTAATTAATTAATTGTCATTAATTTTAAATTTTATTGTAATTTTAATAAACTATTTTTCTATTTCTAGTTGGTGGCTTCTCAGAAAAGTTTATGTAATTTGTGCATTAACTTATTTCCCAATTGTCCTTGGTGGGAACATTACCGCGAGTTGAATAATCAACAGAATATATTTGCTTTTATAGGCAATTTGCAATTCTATCAAAAATTTAAATGTAAATCCAATAATGATATTACTACTAACAGCAAAATTACCGCTGACTTACAACCACGGAATTTGGAAATTGTCCCAGAAAATAAATCTTTAGAGGAGTTTTTACAAGCCACTAAAACCAGTGATGAAATAGCTTTAATATTAATACAACTATTAATAAAATGCATAGAAAATGAACGGTTTACAACTTTACACTCTGATCAATCGATGTTTATGTTGACTTTAAACTTTAGCTTAGATTGTTTAAGCGTGGAAAATCTGGCTTTTTCATCGCCACATAATGCTGAAATCATTAAATGCTATTTGCTAAAGTTAAACGAACAATGTCTAAACAATCTGTTTGCCTTAACAGACAATTCACTGCACGACATACAATTTCAATGTATATTTGCCAAACTCATAGCCGCCTTAGAGTGTAATTTACAAAATACTCGACTGCTTTACGCCTTGATTTATATAATATTTGCCATCTTACATAATGTGGTGGCAGTATATAGCCAGAAAACTTTATGGAATGCCAAAGTCAATCTATATAATTTAAAATTTATAGATGAAAATATCATCGACTGTTGTCTCTCTACCATGGAACACTTGCTAAGACATCAACCACCCGAGCAGGAAGATATAAAATCCTTATATCATTTAATATTTCGTACATTACTAAAAATCATAGAAAATTTAAATAAATACGATATGATGATTTCAACCATAAGCAATAATTATTTCAATACCACCAATCTTACAACCGCTAAACCAGCACCAGTGCGTTATCGAAAAATGAAAACCAAACAAATGCACTGTTTATCTAGTGTACCTAAGTTATCGTGCTATTTTCAAAATATTCTCATAACAATACTACCTACTTTACCCAAGGATCTACAAGAACAAACTATGCTCTATTTAGCACGTTCCGGCTTATGTTGCTGCCACTATAACTTGGCTTTATTCAATAGCATATTGAGTATTATTTTCAATGTAACAGCCTATTATCAGAAATGTGCCTACAAATTTCTTTATAACAAAATGTTAAATACTATTTTCCTAAAATCAACGCAGGAAAATTCAAACTCTACGCAAGTCTCTTTGTATTCAAAACGTTCTGGAATGGTTAATTGTATGAAATGTGATATGAAATTGAAATCATTGGATTTTCATCAAGGTCTTTTGCAAATTTATAAAACTTTTTATAATAAACTACAAAGTAATATGGAACATTTAACGAATCTCATATATTTCCTAAAACATCTCAAACATTTGGCATTTCTGCTAACCAACGATATTGCTACTGGTATATTGGCGGAAATAGTTTTACCTATATTTCGTGAATATAAGTTACATTTATTTGCCCAGAAAAGCCCCCAGAATACCTCCCCACAACACAGTTTGAAATTTTGGCAAAAAACTGCCTCAACTGAAACTACACCCGTAAGAAATTCGAATCTTCATTTAATCATAGATTCAAGTGATAATACAAAAGATGATATTAGCAGATTACTGTATGAATGTTTAAATATATTTGCCATGTATCTAAGAGATATACGGCTAATAAAAGCCTTCTATAATGAGGAAAATATTCGACATTTGGAAGATTTACTGGAGGAGCCTTTTTTAATAAGAGCTGTATGTGATCTAATTAAAATAGGCATTGATAACATAACATTTTTGGGTGATAATAATCAAGAACAAATTATTTTAAGCCGTAGACTGATTACATTACAATTCAATAGTTCGGAAAGGGCTCAACTATTATTTAATTCCCTCTTAACAAAAGCCAAAAATCAAAACAACAGCTGTGCAACACAATTTTGGTTATTTGAAAATACATCGCTAACAACAGCTACGAAATCCAATACCTTACAATTGAAAACTGTAGACATTTTGCATATAGTAGCTCTACAATGGACTCTTAATTATGAACTTTTAAAAACTAGTCAATATTTCTACAATGAATTCGCAAAAATATATTCAATTACTAAGGAAGATGAAGAAGATGATGCAGAAATGCAGGATGAGAGTGGTCAACAATTAAATAATTCCCCCATAAATACAAAAATGTCTCTGAAACCGGGTGATAAAACTATAATAGACATATTACAATTGAATTATAATGCCTTAACGGCATTCTTAATGTTACCACCTAAACGTAAATTAAAAACTCAAAAATTGTCTATGAAATCTAAACAACGTCCACAACACAATCATAAAATAAATGATTATCAACAACAAGAATACAACATATCAAACAATGATTTCGATTCAAGCTGGGAAATATTAGAAAATTTTATTAATTCCATACACTCTATAGAAATGTCAAACAGCACCACTAACACATCACTGCTAACGACATCGAATTATTCTAACGCAACCACAACAACATTTAGTTTATATTCAGCGCAAGACTTAACAACAGCTCTTGATGTAACGGAATTTCCACAACAGTGTAAAAAAGCCACATCGTTTCTATTGCAACTAAATCAAAAGGATACTTTACCACTAAGCGAAAGTGTTTTAAATGAAAGTATTACAATTTTTGATATACGCAATCAAAAGCATTTTCAAAAAAGTCTTCAAAATATTGCTAAAGAAACAACCACAACAAAAAACTCACCCCCGTCTACATCACCCTCTTCTTCATCTACCACCCTCTTTAAAGACACCTTTAACTATTATTACTCAGCTGATGACCCCAAAACGCTAACAGCCAATGTAGCTGCACAAGTTTCAAATGAAAGCATTATCTACAAACTATTTAATATATTCGGTTCAATATTCTCATTAAGTCGTACAAATTCTTTAATTGATTTAAACAAAATATCAGATACAGTCAAAGAAGAAGAAGGTGAATACCACGAAGAACCTCACGATATAGATGTTGATTTATTGCCTCTGTATGAAACACACAGTGATTGCAAAAAATTATTATTAAAAATTTTCGAAGCAACTATGGCCATTTGTATTAAGGGCTATCAAAATGAAGAAGGTGAGTAATATTTGAATAGAAAATGTAAAAAGTGGAATGCTTTTTGAATTTGCCTATGAAAGCTTCGTTTTGTTTTGGGTTTTAAATGAACATCTTAGTTTATATTTCTTCTAATCACACATGCTCTCAATATATGTATATTATGAATGCATGTTGTTTGTTTAGAACATCCAGAAGCCATACAATTGTTACCAGTTAGTTAGTTACTTTGAATTTGCTAATAGTAGTACGTATAGAAACAATAGTGCACGTTAGTACCACATAGTACGTATTTACACTAGACAACATAGAAATTAAAATGTTTTATTTATTGTATATTTTTATAAAATATTCTGAATCCTTATAGATAACAAAGTCGATTTGGGCATGCTTGTCCGTAAGTCTGTCTGGTCGTATGTTTGTTGAAAACAATTCGCTGAAGACCAAAGATATGATTATGACAGTTAAATAATTATATGTTTAGATTACATATGTATATCCGAAAATGTGGCAAAAAAATACCGGTTTTTGGAGATTTTATTTATACAAAAGTATAAATTTTAAATTTAAAATATTTTTCAAATAGTTACCGATTTAGACAAAAAAATTTTTTAATAAGTAAAGGAAGTTCCTCGAGAATGTGAACTGACTTTTTATTAGGGATGCCAATCCCGAAATCCCGATCCCGAAAATCCCGGGCAAATCCCGAATCCCGGGATTTGGAAAATAAATCCCGGGATTTTTTCGGGATTAGAATATCCCGCAACCTGGGATTTTTCAAAATAAATCCCGGGATTTGTTTCAAAAACTGTTTTTATTTTCTTTTTTTGAGCCATAATTTTCATTAACTTGAAAATTACGATCTTATTTTATTTTCGACTCATGCAAAACTAAATTCCGCAGAGCTAATTATATACATATTTAAACCTTTTATTTTTTAAAGTGGTATGATTCCATACACATAGCACATATAAATTTATTTATTCACTTCGTTTTTATACCCTACACCACTTTAGTGGGGAGGGTATATTGGGTTTGTGCTGATTTTTGTTATGCACAATAATATTGGTCCTATACCCACCTTAAAGTATACCAATCGGCTCAGAATCATTTTCTGAGTCGATTAAGCTATGTCCGTCCGTCTGTCCGTCCGTCTGTCCGTCCGTCCGCCCGTCCGTGTAAACCTTGTAATCAAACTACAGCAATTTTGAAGATAATTCTATAAAATTTTGCATGATCTTCTATTGTACTAGAGACGGATCCTATTGAAAATGGGTAACATCGGTCCAATACTTGACCTAGCCCCCATACAACTGAACCCGCCGAATAGGGCTTTTAAGTTCATAATTATGTTTAATATACTCGTATCTCGACAAAAAGCTGCAAAGCCAAGTTCTATACTAGCCTTCATGATGTATTTTTTGATGATACGGCCTCATTTGACCCTAGCTCCTATACAAAGCCCCCTTCGAAATATGACTTAAATGTACACAATTTCATTCAACAAAAAATAGCTAAAGTATATCTGAGGCAAGGTACAATTCAACTTAGATGCTTTATTATGAACAATAAATCACATTTTATTTTATAACTGGTGTAGGGTATTATATGGTAGGCTTCGCCCAACTATAACTTCTTACTTGTTAACACATCGAAATGTTGGTCGTAGACCGACCCAAAAAGTATACACATTCTGTGTCTGTAAGCTAAAAACACGAGTTAGAAGACTCATTCCATTTGTGATGCAAATTTGGACCAAAATTGACACAAGAAAACCTAATTGGACCTCCTCTGAAAATCACATTGATGCTGATATTAATATCAATACATTACAATATTTTGATGGTGGGTATTTAATTTCGGCACAGTCGAATACAAACTTTATTTTTCAATACTAGAGGATTTTACATTTCTAACTTTCTACAAATCTGAGTGATACCGGTAAAGGTAAATTACCTTGTTCTGAATGCACATAAAATTTTAAATTAATACTACGAATATAATAACATGTTCCAAAACATGTATTTTGGGTAAAGTTCCAAATATTTTTCAAAGAATAGGTTCTAAATTGATGTACGGATAATTGAATTGGTATCTGTTATAATTATTAGTTCACATGGAACAGTATGAGGTTTTAAAAAGTGCTTATGTCTAATTTCGGAATATTTATTTAGGAAGTAAGTATGTATTTAAAAAGTTTCAGAAATTATGCAATTCTGAAAGTTTTTATTTAAAAATTGGAATTAATTGGATTGTTTTAATTTAAATATATCTTCTGTCTGCTAAATTTTCACAAAATTAAACAATTTTCTTTACAAATATGATGATTTAAAGATTTTCATATATAAAATAAATAAATTCATGTAATCCCGAAATCCCGTAAAATCCCGAAATCCCGAAAAATCCCGGGATCCCGAAATATCCCGGGATCCCGGGATTGCAATTTTCAAAATCCCGAATCCCGGGATTTGTAAAAGCCAGTCCCGTTTGGCATCCCTACTTTTTATACTCTACACCACTTCAGTGGGGAGGGTATATTGGGTTTGTGCTGATGTTTGTAACGCACAATAATATTGGTCCTATACCCACCTTAAAGTATACCAATCGGCTCAGAATCATTTTCTGAGTCGATTTAGCTATGTCCGTCCGTCTGTCCGTCCGTCCATGTAAACCTTGTAATCAAACTACAGGTCGCAATTTTGAAGATAATTCAATGAAATTTGGTACATGATCTTCTATTGTCCCAGGGACGAAGCCTATTGAAAATGGTTAAGATCGTTCCATTATTTCACCTAGCCCCCATACAACTGAACCCCCCAATAGGGCTTGTAAACCTTGTAATCAAACTACAAGTCGCAATTTTGGAGATAATTCAATGAAATTTGGCATATCATCTTTTATGGTACCGTAGACGAAGTCTATTGAAAATGGTTAACATCGGTACATTATTTCACCTAGCCTCCATACGACTGAACCCCCCGAATAGGGCTTTTAAACTTTGTAATCAAACTACAGGTCGCAATTTTGGAGATAATTCAATGAAATTTGGCACATGATCTTTTATGGTACCGTAGACGAAGCCTATTGAAAATGGTTAACATCGATCCATTATTTCACCTAGCCTCCGTACGACTGAACCCCCCGAATAGGGCTTTTAAACTTTGTAATCAAACTACAGGTCGCAATTTTGGAGATAATTCAATGAACCCGCCGAATAGGGCTTTTAAGTTCATAATTATGTTTAATATACTCATATCTCGACAAAAAGCTGCAAAAACCAAGTTCTATACAAGATTTGATGACCCTCACGAATTCCATAATATTAGGTCCTCATATGACCCTAGCCCCTATAAAAAGCCCCCATCAAAATTTCACTTAAATGTCCACAATTTTATTCAACAATAAACGGCTTAAGTATGTATATCTGAGACAATGTACAATTCAATTTAAATGCTTTATTATGGCAAATAAATCACATTATATTTTTGTCAAAGTTGTAGGGTATTATATGGTCGGCCTCGCCCGACTATAATTTCTTACTTGTTTTACTTAAATTTTGAAAACTGTGGGAACCCTAAGCTTTATAAGTGCTTAAAAATTTCCTAAAAAGTGTTAAACTAGTTATAAGTTATGGATCCAATTTATACGTCATATAAACCGCATTAAGGAGAAGAATTTATGCTCCCAGTTTAATAATTTTAAAACATCCTTTTTGAACGATAAAATTTGGAATTCCCTTATATCGGAATTAAGACAAAATTTATCATAAATGTTTTATTATAAAAAAATCATTTTTTTATGTTTATTTATACTCATAATAGGTGTAGAGTTATCATATGACCGGCCATGCCCAGTTATACTTTCTTATTTTATCTTTATATAGCGCGAAGTTGAAAATACTTTTCGTAGCACAGTGTAGTTTAACGATTTCTTACAAATAATATGTATTATGACATTCTATAGACTATAGTGCAATAGACATTTGTTAGGTGGCGGTCGTTGAATTGTTAGAACTGAACTTGAGTTTATTATTAGTATGTAGTAAATAAATAAACTGCAATATGCAGCATTTAACATTAGAATGGACTGTATTGTATAGACGAATTAAAGAATAACTAGATTATATTACCATTATTTCAATGTGGTTGCACACTATACATGTTGTTAATAATTGCACTTTTTCATTCTATGCTGGCGTAGATGATAAAATAAATAAATATTAGTATAGTTTTAAACCGACCATCTCTTGTGTTACATCAAAAAAAAAACAAAACAAATTATACATTTTCTTAAACACGTTATACATATTTAAATAAGATATTAAAACATTGGGCTTGTTAAAAATCTCTAGACTGATAAAAACAGATCTTATCTTTTAATAAGAGACTATACAACAGATTAAATGTAACACATTTTATTAACATTCGAGTTGATACAATAAAATTAATTGTATGCAGTACATATTCCGTAGTAAAATTCATTGAAATTTAACAAACATTTTATTTTATTATTTTCATACGTGTTTTTCTAGTGGAAAAAATGCAAAAACATTTGCGTAAACTGAAAAGTGTTATATTAACAAACGCCTGCAATAATTGGGAACAACATTCGGAAGAGCACACAAGAGAAAATACTGTTATACAAACGTTGCAATGTCTACTCAAGATAGCCGAACTATCGAATTGTGCCAATGAACCGGCTGCAGTTGTTAGTACAAGTATTTTAACCACAGTTACCGAAGATCAAACAAATCTAAATGAGTTGAGACCACGAACTAGATCATTTAATAGTTCGCGTTTGGGAGGAGGTATTTCCTATAATTATCATCAATTAACTACAGCTTTGCCAAGTAAAAATGCCATCCTAACACCCACTACTCCGCCCCAGAGACCTTTGTCCGGGGAAAGTGGTGATGCAGATTATTTCTCTACGCGAGCTTCGTACATTTGTGCAGACAGTGAATTGGAATTTAGTGAAAATGATCAAGATGATTTTTATCTAACAGCCGATGAAGGCTATGAAGCGGATGGTGAAATTCAGGAAGTTTCCGAAACCGAGGGCATGTCTGAAGTAGGAGAACTATGGCATTCTTTTCAACCCTCCTCCCGCTATCGAACACATATACTGCATGAAGGCATATGTCGTTTAGTGGTGGATATACTAATTGAGCTTAGCCAGAAATGCTGTGCAAATCCTTTGGGTTGGTGTGATAATTTAGCTCAATTAATTAATCGTCTTTTTGTGATACGTGAATACTTGGGTGGCCCTTTATTTTTACTCCGCGGTTTTGCACCTGTACTGAAATGTCATGATGTTCGTTTGAGAGAGTTGCAGCAATGTATTTTAGAATTAATTATAGACTTGAATTCACCGGAAGTTCTATCAATATTTTTTGGTATACTCTCGTCGAAAAATCCACCTGTAGATATATTAGTGAAATATATGAATTATATTTGTGCCAATACTTTAAAGAAATGTCAGCCGAGCGTGGAGTTGGAGTTTCCAGTTCATATTGGTAAGTTAAATATCAGTTTTTTAATGAAAACTAATTAACCTCTAGTACATATCTAAATTTGGTTTAATTTTTCCAAACCAATGATGATTAGTTTTAAAATTATTAAAGAAATAGAAAAATATAAAAAAGGCGTTTTATCTAAACAATCCTTTTTTATTATTTGAGTATTGTAGTAAATGACTCGGTGGGACAAATAAAGGAATAAAATTAACATTTCGAGAAAACACTTGATTTTTTCGAAGTCCATTACTCTATGTCCGTCTGTCTATATGTTTATTGAAATCAGTTTTCTGAAAACCCTGTAATATATTCACTTTCGAAATAATGAAGCATGCTATTAAATTAGCTATGACCATCTATCCGTAGTTTTGTTGAAATCAATTTCCAGATATCTTTAGAATCCAATTACTGAAATATGAAACATCTGTAAAAAAACGGAGATATAATATAAATTCCTAGAAACCGCATGGTTTTTATACCCTACACCACTATAGTGGGGAGGGTATTATGCGTTTGTGCTGATGTTTGTAACACCCAAAAATATTGGTCCTACACCCACCTTAAAGTATACCAATCGACTCAGAATCACTTCCTGAGTCGATTAAGCTATGTCCGTCTGTCCGTCCGTCTGTCCGTCTGTCTGTCTGTGTGTCCATGTAAACCTTGTGCGCACTCTACAGGTCGCAATTTTTGAGATAATTTGATGAAATTTGGAACATACACTTCTCTTGGTCCAAGGACAAACGCTATTGAAAATGGTTGAAATCGGTCCATTATTTAACCTAGCCCCCATACAACCGGACCCCCCGAATAGGGCTTTTGACCTCATACACTGTCGATTTTTATAATGATCGGGCATTATTTGACCCTATCCCCTATACAAAATCCCCTTCAGGAAATGACTTCAATGTCCACAATTCTCTTATAAACACTAGTATCAATATGAAATTTACCACAAATAGATTTTATATAAAAATTTTATATAAAATGTCGACATTAAATTTTATAAGGATCGGACCAATTTTTGCCCTAGCCCCCATACAACCGGACCTACCGATTAGGGCCTCTTAGCTCATAACTACGATAAATATACTACTATCTTCCCAAAATTTGGCACAACTAAGTTTGATATGTAATTATAAATAACACTGTCATTTTTCGCCATAATCGGAAATAAAAAGTAGCCTATTGCCAGACATACGAATGTGCTGTGAAAATTTGAAGAAAATCGGTTTAGCCGTTTAGTAGTCTATAACGTTCAAACATACAAACATATAAACACACAAACATACAAACATATAAACATACAAACAAACACACATTCATTTTTATATATGTATATAGATAATTCCCAATAATACATTTTGTAAGGATCGGTTCACTTTCTGCCTTAGCCTCCATACATCCTGACCTTCCGATTTCGGTCATTTATCTTTTAACTACATCTAATATACTACTATCTATCCAAAAGTCGGCACAATGTGGTGATGTTTGTAATACTCAAAAATATTTGTCCTTATTAAGCTATGTCCGTCTTTGTGACCGTGTAAACCTTGTGTGCACGCAACAGATCGCAATTTTGAATATAATTTGCTAAAATGTGTCACATACTATTCTCTGGATCCACTGACGATGGCTGTTGAAAATGATTGAAATCGGTCTTCTATTTTTCGTAGTCAGCATACAACCGAACATGAACAGACATTATTTGGAACCTATATAAGATTAACAGAAATGCTTCATTATTGAAATTAATCACATTTAATATTCGCAATTGGTGTAGGGTATCATATGGTCGGCCACGCCCGACTATAATTTCTTACTTGTTTTTTAATTTAGAATATATTTATATTTATATACTTCCCAATTTTAGATGGCAAATGTGTTTCAACGAGTGATCTAGAGGTCACTGAACATATCGATCGTATACGTAATTATCATTTAAACTGCCAAGCTAATACACCTTTTACAAGATCACCTTGTATTATGCCCCTCACACATGCACGTCTCTGGAATCCCGAAGGTTTTACGATATCTCTGTGGTTACAAGCCAAAGGCTCACAAAATCACAAAAGTACCAGTCAAATTATCGAAGATGATACCAGATCTTCAAGTGATGTATATATGGTAAGTTTTAACTCTCATTAACTAATATAGATATTAATAAAACGAAACAAAATTATATTTCGTTAATTTAGAAAACTCACATCTTGTCGGTGGGTACAAATCAAGCTATGCTTAGCATATATTTAAACAATAATCTGAATTTAACTTTTGAAACGTTTAAACCAAATGCTGAAATGCCAGCAAAGTCCAACCAAATGGATGAAACATTAGATATTAAACCAAATGTAGTTATCAATGGCACACAAAGTCCTGAAAACAAAATAAGTAAAAATCACCATTACAACAATCATTTTAATCAAGAACCAACAGCTTCGAGTTCCGGGCCCGCAACTGGTATGACTTCTCCCTTTTCGAAAGCTTTTAAAAACACAAAACAGGCATTTCTTAACAGTTTTAGCAATATGCATCTATTTAACGGTCATGCCGAAACAGATGCTTATTATGAAAGCACTCATGTTGATTTGAAACAATTCCGTTTGATTAGAAACAAATGGACACATCTTACTTTTGCAATAGACATTTTGGCTGATAGTTTGGATATGTGCCTACTTATCGATGGTCTAGAACAACATCGAATACAGTTGCCATTCCGCAATATACGTTTACTAACCAGAACTCATAACTTTCAAATGATTGCACTTGGTGATGGCATAGTATCTCGTTCTCCCAACACTACCACCTTCAATGAGTCACGCTCAACTTTAGATTGTTTTCCTATTCGCGTATCCATTTCCAATTTAATGCTCTTTAATCGTCCACTCAATAAAAAAGAAGAAATTTTAAATTTAACTGCCATGGGTCCCGATTTTACCGAATTGACACAATGTCATGTGGCTAATTGGAAACCAAATTATGGTTATTTAAACACAAATAAATTACAAACAGCCTATTTTTGCAATTACGTCGATTCTTTGAAAACTTTACGAGATTCACGAATTTTATGTTATAACGCTTCACAACCAGATATGGTCATGTGCTATGATACCAGTGTGGAATTGGATAATATTACATACGGTAAGAAGTTTGAGTTTATACACGATATTTGATTGTTTAATTGTGAAATATTTCTAGGTCATCCTTATGGCGTAATACATTATGGCGAACTTGTGCAGAATAGTTTGCCTTCTTTGCAGACAGCTACAATTTTATGTGGAGGTCTATCGAATCTTTTATATTTATTTGCGAGAGTAAGTCTAATGTAAAGTAATACTTTAATATTCTTATTCCGACCTAGCTGTAAAGAGCAATTATATCGGATTTTAACAAGCTAATATTACGCCGAATTTATTTTCTATATTTATCTATCTATCTATCTATCTATCTATCTATCTATCTATCTATCTATCTATCTATCTATCTATCTATCTATCTATCTATCTATCTATCTATCTATCTATCTATCTATCTATCTATCTATCTATCTATCTATCTATCTATCTATCTATCTATCTATCTATCTATCTGCCTATTTATGTATTGATTTATTATTTAATTTATTTAATATAATTCTACTTAATTTTCTCTTTTGTCGAAATTAGGTTGTCGAAATTAGTTCTAACTCTTTAACTCAATCTATGGCTTTAGATATTTTACTCAATATTGCCTTTTCCGAATCACAACTATACACTGAATTTCAACGTAATGATTACATTAATCTCATTGGTTATGTCATCAAAACGGAAAGATGTACCAAAGATTGTAATCTACTCAAAAGTATTATAAACAATGCCTGCTCTCAACCTTTGATATTGAAAAAAGGCGATTTACTGCAAGTTAATGATACAACCATCGCAACAGTGGTCTATCCAAAATTGTTTACTTCTATTTTACATAGATATTCAGATTGGCATCGTTCCGGTGCCGAAAATTCAGATGTTCTAGATATGCTCTTTCAAACAATATTGGCATTAACACGAGAAAAGCATCCGCAGCGCGATTTTAATATCGAACATTTTACCAAGGAGGGCTTAATGCGAGAACTTTTAAATTTGTGCAAAGTTTATGTTATTGAATCACCAAATCCAGTATTTATATCTAAAAAGGCAGCTGAGGCATTTGTTAATATTATATCGGTTTTTGCTGGTTCACCACCTAAACCTTGTCTCTTAGATGAAATCATGAAATTAATGTTGCTATTACACAAACCCAGTGAATGCTATATTACACACGATAGATCCAAGTTTTATTTTCTCTTAACACCAGAAATACCCATCAAAGAAAAATCTTCATTTAGTACTGCACTTAAAAGAAATTCTACCAAACGCAACCAACAGGGAGGAGCAAAACCCCTAAGCGATCTTAATACCAATTCAAATTCAACAAACTCCTCCAACAGTGATGTGGATCCTGCTAGGCAGGCACGTATAAACCGTTTAAGAAAGTTACATAAAACTGTGTCAGCCTATAAAAGACCTTTAGATGAATTTGAAGAAAATTTGGAAAATATGGCTGATTGTACGAAACTTAATAAAAACGCCTTGCGTTTAGTAAATCCTTTGGAGGCGTCCAAATGGCGTTTAAAGTTTAAAAAATCCTCTATTCTATCTACACCTAACAGTCCTATTAAACATACACATACGCATTCGCCTCATAAATCCCGTGCATTCAACAAGATGTCGTCATTCCTCAAGCAGTCACCCCAAAATAAAAGAATACAAAGAAAACGTATACGTTTACATAGTGCCAGTTCGGCTCGTTCTTTGGCGTTGGGTGATGGTGAAAAACACATGCGTTTGACAACCAGAAAATCAGATTCTAGTTTACATTCTTTGGCTGCTTCATTGAATATGGATCACACCGAATGTCCTAGTTTAAATGAGGTTTTCAATTCAAAATCCACTTTGCAGCAGAAGAAATCTAAAATACTGCATAAAACTGATACTTTTAGTTCTGTAGGCATAGCAGCCTTGCAAAGTGGGTTGTTGCTGTTACTTAAAGATTTTCTTTGTCTTTTACCAGACACCGATATCGATGATGTGCTCAATCATTACATCAAAGTAGAATTCTTATTAGTTTTAGCTAATCACAATAATGCTGGCGTACGTTCAGCCGTTATCAAACTTATAAGTGCTTTAACACAACGCTTATTTCCCCAAGATATACAAGCTTGTACCAGGGCTTTGTATCCTCATCATTTGGCCAATCAGCTATCGGTGGGCTTTTGCGATAGCAACATGTTTGAAGCTTGTCTAGAGTGGGTTTGTGGTACAATGGGCTCTTTGGATTCCATACTTAATTGTGGAATTAATCTGCATATACAAAATCGTTTCGGCTTAAATGCTTTACTAGCCATAGCTTCGAAATCAGCTGCCACAACTAATATTCAGCTGGAATTTACCGGAAAGGCGTTTAAAGTTCTCAAGCAATTATACTTAGAGGTAAGTAAGCTAAACATTTTAATAAATTAATTTTCTTAACTTTTGTCCTTTATTGTTATTTAAAGAATCCTGAAGATCAACAAACTATTATTGATGCTGGTCTCATACAATGCTGTGTTAAAGCTTTATATCATCTATATTCTAAAACAACATCGTATAACATAAAGACTGAGGAATCTATTGCAGATTTATTAACCACCATCGGTGAAATATCTCTTAAATCAGTAGGTCATATCAATGTACGTTTTTATCCAATTTAAAGGAAAATTATTTTTAAACAGTTATGAATTTATTTAAATTTATAGATAATTTGGGACGTTATTAATATGCTGTCTTTCTATCAAGAAAAGCAGCCACAAAACATTATCAAAGGTTATCGTTCCATTCAAGCCAAACTACAAATGAATTGGTTGAATTTATTTTTCGTAAAAACAAATGTACCCTGGAATTTTAAAGGTAAGTTATAAAAATTTCTGGGTTTCATAAAATATAGCATAATACTGTATTATATGTAATCTGTTACAATCTATCATAATGCCTTATTATTGCATTTATTTTTATTTTCACTTTGCAGTTTGTCAATTTCCGAATTTCTCTATGTCCGAGACAAAAACACGATTAGAATTACTAATTAATCGTTGTTGTCAATTTTACATGGTCTTCAATGAAAAGTCAACGCCTACACAAAATGAAACGGAATTATTTAAACTATTGGTATCCTATAGCATTGCAACAAATCAACGTTGCAACAATTTCATAGCCTGGGGTCTACAACCCTCTCAGCCTAGAGATTTACGTTGTTTTATTGTCGATGCTTTATGGATATCATGTGAGGATGATTTTATGCCCGCCATTATATGTGATGGTAAAATGATTAAGGCTCTATTATGGTTAAGTCTGCTAGAAGATTTAGATGAACCCATTGAACATTTACAAGCTTTATGTAAACGTTTGGGTATTAATGAGAACGATTCAACTTGGAATTTAGAAAATGAATTACAACGTATGGACTTGCATAAAACAGATGAGACGGTAAAACAGAAAACATCTTTGGAAAAGACGATTTATAAATTTGAATCGTTGACACAGGGATGCATTGAATCATCAATGATAACGACACGTAGAGTGGCAGAATTACAAGTGGGATTTTCTTATATTTTAATAACGTTCAGCTGAAGAAATATTTGTTTTTCTTATTTTTACAGAATTCTGAACGTAAATTATTAATGAATCATATGAAGGATTATGACGATACACATACATATACCAAATGGCTAGAAATAGTCAGAAGATTAACTCATGAGGGTGCTCCTTGGTTTAGTGAACATAATAGTGAAAGGTATGTAAATTGATCAAAATATAAAAATAGTAAAAATAAATGCTGAAAATTAACTTAAGATCTAAGGAATTTTATAAATTAAAAGAGTTATTTTATAAATAAATTTAGTTTAGTATGAATACAACAGCTTTATTCCAAAATATGTTTTTATAGATCTTGGGAATTAGATGATACCGAAGGACCATCTCGTGTACACACACGTTTGCGTAAATGTCATTTAGATCTTGATAAACGTTTCTTTATGCAAGACTTTAATGAGTCGTCCATATCGAACACAACAACAACAACAAATGAATGTGACACCTCTACACCAGCTAAACGTTCAGAATATTCACGACCTCTAGAATATCTTATCTCCAGTTATGATCAACAGTTAAACATATCATTAAATTCACAAATACTTTATAATTTTCCTGCAAAATATCTACCAGTCGATGGTGAAATTGATGGCGAAATAATTGTTACCGACCATAAACTATACTTTTTAGCTACATATCGTTGTAAATACTTTTACGTCAACTGTGATATTTCTAACATAACGGAGATTTGGTTAAAACGTTATCAGCATCAGGAAAAGGCTTTTGAAATTTTTCTAGACACAAATCAATCACTATTCTTCTCATTGCAAAATCAAGATGATTGGAAAATAATGCGCGATGTATTCTGCGATAAAATTGTAACACCACCCGAGAATAGTAAAGTTCTCTTGATAACGCAACAATGGCGTGAAGGTCTTTTAACCAATTGGGAGTATTTAATGACACTTAATCAAATAGCCGGTCGTACATACAATGATCTCATGCAATATCCAGTATTTCCTTGGATTTTATCGAATTATACATCAGATATTTTGGATTTAACGGAAACGAAAAATTTTCGTAAATTACCCAAACCTATTGCGGTACAAAATGAAGAAAATGAACAGCATTACATTAATAATTATACGGTAAGAAAAAAAGCAAAACCTAAAACCCAATATAGTATAAATAAATTTATAGGATTATAATGGATTATAATGATTTAATTTACTTTAATAGAACTTTGTGTTATAAGAAAGTTTTCATTTTATTTTCTAGTATATACAAAATACCATGACCAACATGGGTTCAATGATATTGAAACCCTATCATTACAGTTCACATTATTCAAATTCTGGCACAGTATTGCATTTTTTGGTAAGAGTGCCACCATTCACTAGTTATTTTTTGCGTTACCAAGGTAGGCTTTCCATTTCATACTTTTTTACGCAATATTTATTGATATGTTTATTTTATCATTTAGACAACAATTTCGATATACCCGATCGTACTTTTCATGCTCTAAGTACTACATATTGCTTGGCTAGTCGTGATTCACCCACAGATGTTAAAGAACTAATACCCGAGTTCTTTTGTTTGCCGGAAATGTTTGAAAATTTCGAACATTTTAACTTTGGTTGTCGACAAAATAGTGAACGTGTCGAGGATGTGGCCCTGCCACCTTGGTGCTTAAAAGATCCCCGGCTATTTGTGTTAATACACCGTCAGGCTTTGGAATCAGAATTGGTACGTAATAATCTTCATCATTGGATAGATTTGATATTTGGTTTTAAACAAACTGGCGAGGCGGCTGTAGAAGCTATAAATGTTTTTCATCCGGCGGTAAGTTTTTATTTTTGGCATATTACTTAAACTTAATCTAAGTGATTTGTTTTCTCATACACCAGACATATGCTGTATTCTTAGAATCGGAAATAAACGATCCTATTGAACGCGAAGCAGTAGAAACCATGGTTAAAACTTATGGCCAAATGCCACGTCAGCTCTTCAAATCACCGCATCCTCCCTCGAAGCCTTTGCAATATCAAAATGATAAACAAATACTATCAAGTGTACGTGGCTTAAGATGGGGTATTTATTTAGGTTCTCCCCAACTGCCCGAGCCCACATTAGGCAATACTCATAAGTTAATGGGTGCGGAATATTTATTGTCATTTAATAATACCAATGTGGTTTATGGTTTACCCTCACGTTCATGTGTTATGCAGGGTGCCGAAAGCGATACATACAATGTTATTTCGTGGGGTTACGACGATCGAATAGTTCGAATACAACCTCTTAATAAATTAAATGCTAAACCTAAGAATTTATTATATAATAGTGCTTTCGATGATATTACCGCCTGTGGCTGTGATGTTAATTCTAATCAACTTTGGTTTGGCCATAAGTCGGGTAGGATTTCCATCTACAAATGTTCCAGTATAGAGGCAAGTCAGCGTACGGGTAAAAGTCGCCAAAGTTATGTAAAGGGTCTTAAACTCTCGTATAATTCGGCTTTTCGTAAAATAACTAGTAAAACCATGGAGTCAGAGGGTGATTTAACCTCATCGACCATATCATCGAATTCTTTAAATTTAGCGGAAGCGGCTATTTATAAAGAAGGAGCTGATTTAACCTGGTCTGGTCCTACAGTATTAATACGTCATACAGATGAGATAACCTGTATAGCATTGTCGGTGGACTTTAAAATAGCGGTAACGGCTGGAAAAGATGGTCTTGCTGTTATATGGGATTTAAATAAGTAATTTTGAGGTTAATTTATAAAATAACTATGATTAATAAGTTTTCTCCTTCCAACAGTTGGTCTTATGTCCGCACTATAGAACGTCCTGCAGAAATTCACCATTCACCCATAACATTACTAACCATATCACCAACATTGGGTGATATTGTAACTGTTCACTCATTGACACAACAACAAACAACCCTCTCAGACCATAACCTGCCAGAAAAACAAAATTATTTATCGACAGCTGCAGCCCCTCCACCTGCAGATGAATGTTTTGAGGTAACTGAAGAGAATCTGGATGATTTTGTTAATGTTTCCATAAATCCAAATGGAAAATCTATTTTACGTTTACATTCGGTAAATGCCCGTTATGTGCAACATAATGTTCATGAAGATCGCATCATGGCTGTATGCTACTCCTATATAAAAGAGGGTGTTGGTGTTAATGTTATTGCTACAGCGGTTGAGGGTGGTATTGTACGCCTGTGGTCTAGTTGGAATTTAAGTTTTATTACCGAAATTGTTACGGGCTTATCAAATATAAGAAGGTGTGTATATTAAACTTTAGATAACATTTTACATTACCTTAGCATTTCCGTTTTCAGCCTTACCTATTCAACACATCAACATTTGGTGGTTTTAACAGAACAATCTCATATTCAAGTTTGGGAAACTAAAGGACTGTGTGGCAATTCACCAAAATTTCCACAAATTGCTTATAAATAAAAAAGACTTTAAAACTTAATATCATTTTTGCAAAAAAAAAAAAAAACTAACGATCAATTACGAAACATAATATAATTATAATTAATCATCATTTACACTTAACCTATATTTTATTAAGCAATCATTATGTATTAGGGTTGGATCTTAGATACTCGTAAAGTTACTTTATTTAGTTGTAACATAAAAAATAAGATAAAGGCTTTAAAAGAAACAAAATACACACACACACATGTAAATAAATTGAAAATTTATTTTTTGATAATGAATTGAAAAGAAAAAATGTAAATTGGATATTAAAATTTAAACAAAAAATATATAAAAACTAAAAAAAAAATACTTTGGACTAAAAAAAGGGCTTTGCATAATTTAAAAAATACAAACATGTAAGTAACACTATACAATAACATTTAATAACTCTTAAACTCTAAATACAAAAAAAAAAACATAGAGAAACTTTAAGAGCACTTTAGTCAGAGTGTAAAAAATACAATTTTAAATTAAATATTAATATTAAGCTTTCCAGGGTGGTTTAGAATGACAATATCTTTTGGCTGATTTTTCCATTTTATCTTTGCATTCTTTAGCTTTTGTGGTTAATGCTAGAATTTCATCTAATTTATCAAAGTCTGTGGGAGATTTTGAAAGCAACTGAAATAACAAAAGTTATTAAAACATATTTGTTAATTATACTTAATAACAGGCATGGAAAATTCTGTACCATAGTACTTTTTGATACTGTGGCACCCCCAAGTATTTACTATGGTAATACTATTTCCAAATTTCCATTTTCCATACCGGTTTACCAATAAACAACTTACCAATTCAATGTAGGCTTGTAACTTATCCTTTGGTGACGCTTCTTGTTTGTGCAATAAATTTAAATTGTTTTCTTTTTTACTTGATTTTGGTGTCTCAAAATCATGATGCTGTTGATTTTTGTGTGCTTGATAAATGGCTTTATTGTGAGTGTCATTATTGTCTTGCGAAGAAGACTCCTGATCAGTTGTTTCATTGTATGTCGTGCGTGTCATATTATGGGGCGATGTTAGAATTTCTAAAGCCTTTTGCCATTGTGTTTCCATAACATTGTGTAATTTTTCGGCTATATCTGCCCGTTTCGATTTGTAAATATTAAGTTTCATTTCCATATCATCGATTTTCTTTGAAGCATTGGCCAATTGTATGCGATACAATTCCACTTCTTCGTTGTGTTTTTCCTGTAGTAAATTCAATTCCAATTCATTTTTCTCATTTATTAACTCCAATTGTTTGACCGCTCGTTCAGCTATTAAACGTTCACGTTCTCGTGCTTCTGACTTGAGTGTTTCTTCTGTTCTGTCCAATTGTTCTTGGAATTCTTTGAGCTTTTGAGCCACTACATTTTCCAGCTGTTGCTGATAGTGAGATTTTAGGGTTTTTTGTTGCAACTCCAACTTTTTTCTTAAAGTACTCTAAAAAAACAACAAAGTTCTATAAAACACCAAATCAACAAATTTATAATCTTCTCACCTCATTTTCGGTTAGATGAGCTAAAGATTCTTGTAATGATTTTCTTTGCGTATCTAAATTATCAGCTCTAGTTTTTTGTTTTTGATGATATTCCTGTAGCATATCCTTTTGGTGTCTTAGTGTAGTGTTTTCTTTTTCCAATTCCTCACAGCGAAGTTTCGTCTTTATTAAAATAAATATGTATATGTATATTAATATTAAAATCATCGTAATATACTAAATAATTTACCTTTTCATATAAATGTTCGGACTTTGCATACTTGTCACGTAATTTGTGCAATTCATTTATGGCCAATTCCTCCGATCTTTTGCATGCATGTGCTTTAATTTCTAAATCTTCCATTTTTTGCTTATATTGATTACAATATTCATTTGTTTTCCTTTAATATGAACATATAAGGGTTTGCTAATATTTAATTAGAATTAAAAAAAATTTTACCAACCTTGAACAATTTGACAGCTCTAGCTCTAACTTTTCATTTTTATCTTGAAATTTGCTTGCTAAACTAACCGCTTGTGCTAATTCTTTTTGAAGCGATTCCAGTTTTTCGTCATAATGTTTACGTTGTTGCTCAGAATCTTGGACATTTTTGCGCAACTGTTGCAATTCTTGTTTAAGGCTATTAAAAGTTAATATTAGAGTTCGATGAATATTCAAAAATAGATAAATTTTTCTATTTATAGAACATTTTTTATAAAAAATTAGATGAAAATAGAAAATTTTGGAAAAATGTTCGATTCATGAAATTTTGATAATTTCTTCATTTGTATAAAAGTTACGTTAATTTCCTTGATTATACAAAAATTTTCGCTGTAGAGAAATCACTTTTTATGATTTTCATATTTTTAGATTCATTGACAAAATTATTCAAATCCTGAGAGTTAATAAATTTGATAATAATTGACAACATTAAAGTTTATTAACAGAAAATAATCCATAATTACCTTTTATTTTCCATTTGGGCATTATTTAAAGCATTATCCTTAGTTCGGTCCACCTCGATGGCAACTGACAGTCTCTGCTGATATTCGAGTAAACGAGCCTGTAATTGTCTGATAGTTTTCTCCAAATGCTGCCTTCTCAATTGTTCTTCCTTAAGATTTGATTGTGAGGACGTTGCTATGGCAGTAGCCTGGCCACTTTTACCCCAAATTTCACTTAAACTAATGAGATTATTATCAGCCTTAGACATTTGATAGCAATTTGTTTTCTCCAGAGGCAATGAATTCATGGCGTTGGGCAATGAATTTGCTTGTGATTGTCGATGTTCTCTAAGATCCGAAAAGCCATTTTCTTGTAATTGCGATTCCAAACGATAATCTTCACTGTGACGCTGTTGCCAATAGTTGGCATTGTTCTGTACACCACCATCATTGAGCAGGAAATTATCAATTTCCAGTAGAACTCCATCCTCTCTGTCGCGGTTATTTAACTTTTTTGCTGGTGGCTGCTGTTCTTTGAACGAAGAGTTTATGTATTTTGGCGTAGAATGAACCATACCCACCGGTTCTCTATTTGCTTTGCTAGGGCCGAATTGTGTTCTTACTGTATTTGTTGAGATACTCGATATATCCGAGGGATTATCGCCATAGGCCATATCTTCTCGTTCTAAATTGTGTAGCCTAGCATTGATATGATTAAGTTCAGTTTTCCTGGTGGGTGGTAAAAATTGATATGCCGCTGTCGGCGGTGGCGCCATAGGAGGTGGCATTGCTAAAGCATCATCATTTTTGCAACCAGCCAAATCCATGGCTTGGAATTCTCTTGTCAAATCTCTTCTCGTTAGTCGCTGCTGATATTGACGCTCCTGAGCATTCAATTCCTGTAAACTGGTGTATTGTCTCTGGTGTAATACTTTTATATCGTCAAGCAAAATTTCTTCCTCAGCGTTGGTCAAATAATAATTGGGTGGTATCAGGAGAAGAATGTCAGTATCATCTGAATCACTCATTACCTTTTATTATCATCATTTATATCTCACACAAAATTTTACATCTCATAAAAACTAATAATTTTCAACCAAATAAACATAATAAAATCACTTTTTTATTTTTTATTCGAATTCAAATCCAAACAGCAGCTGCATTTCACAAACAACAACAGAGAAGAAGAATAGAGAAAACCGGATAACTGAGCTGACAAAAATTAACGGCGGAGGCGGGTGACTCTAAATGTGACGGCGGCAGATTAAAATACCCTAAAAACTAACTTTCAGCTGTTTTTAAAATGCAACAACGATATTGAATAAAAACAGATTCCGAGTGAATAAAAAGTGGGATTTCGTTCGAAAATAAAAAACAAAAAGAAGTTGGACAGTATAATCGATCATAGCTGCTTTTTTATTAAAAATGCATGTGTTGAATTTTAATATTCCGTTGTAATTATGCAACTATTGACGAAGAACAACTTTTTTTTAAAATCAATTTTTAGAAGACCCCAGATATCTGCGAGATCAGAATCTTCAACAATTCTATCAGACATGCTTTCGAGATTATTGTTATTTAAAATCAGCAAAATCGGTCCATAAATAATGGGATATGAGCAAATTTCCAAAACAACCCATGGAAAATTACATTCTTTATCATCCTTGATAAGTTTTTTCATAAACTATATAGCATCTATTTCAACAAATTTTGTGACAATTCTTTTTTTTTCAAAAATTATTAAAATCTGTTCAAAATTTTATATAGATGTCATGCAAATTTACATACCCACGAAAATTGATTTATTGTTATTATTTAACGGCTTGTACCACCTGCCGTCGTTAGGTCTTGCCAACTTATTTCAAAGAAAATTTCACAACGATAAGCTTTCATATATACTTCATATAAACAAAAATATTTCACAATATTTTTTTTTTTCTTGTAAATAAATAAACCTAAAGCATTTCTGATAAAATGTCCTCAGTTACAATTAATAAACTATTAAAAACTTCACATAACGCTGGAGACAATAAAAACTATATATATTTACAAATAAAATGGGGAGATGAAGAAAACAACTTTAAAATACAGGATTCTGAAAGCGGAAAATCATATCAAGGTATTGTAACTGTCACGGCTATGAAGGAAATCGCATCCAATTTGGATATGTCTTACAATGACTATTATGATGAAATGCGATCAGCATTAACCACTTATTTAGCGTTACCTGGATTTTATTATAAACTAGAACCTGAAATGCAGGTTCTTAACATCTGGAAATCGCAACCTGAATCAATACCGATATTATTTCTAGATATCGATATTAAAGAAATTAGGGCCAGTTATGAGATATTGGATTCTGCTATAGAACTCTTACAGCAACAAGATAAATCTCTAACAGATCGTGTACAAAAGGCTCATAAGTTTGATGAACATTCGCGAGAGCTTTTGGAAGATTATCGTTTGTGTGTGGAGGAGAAAAATGAATTGGAAAGAAAGCTGTTAAAGAAAGTAGCGGTATTATTGAATGCCAAAAAGGAACGTATAGCTCAACTAGAGGAACGATTAAAAAAATACGAAGAAGTTGAGGATAACGATGATTCTGAGGAAAACGAGGAAGGGCCACAAAGTAGCAAAAGAAGACGACTTGTTGTTAGAGATAGTGACAGCGATGATGAAGAATATATGGCTGATACACAACCTTTGACACTACCTCACGATGAAACAAATAATGAAGATTTTTAATTATATTGTGTACTTCTCGGACAAAATATATAATAGCACTAATTGTTATCTTTTCCGATAAACAATATTTTAGTTTAATTCATTTTAATCGGAATCATTATTTGAAAATACATATATTTATAAAACCACCCCATGTATAGCAAAGATTAATTGGTGACTGATTCCAGCTCTATTTTTTTAATTTATCGAAATTTATTTTTACTTTAAGCATCATTAACAAAGTATTTTAAACATAAATGATTTAATTGCTACTTCTTTTAATGCCAAGCATTTTGATAACTTCTTCTTTATACTTATTCAAATTGTACTCATTTTCTCCTTCATTTATCAATTGCTCAACACTTTGTACAAAGCCTTCACTGGCTTGTAATTTACCACCTTCTGCCGATTCTTTACCCCAATTGAGTATAGACTCAACGGATTTCTTTGATTTGTTTCGTTCATATTTGTAATACTCCATATCAGCTTCAGATTTAGTACTTTCCCAGGGTTCAGTAACAAAGGATTCGTGATAACAAGCCGTTAAAAGATACATAGCATATTCATAATTCTGCTTACGCAAAGGACAACGATCGGCCACAATTGTGAGGACATCTGTTTCACGATTATAACGATCACCCACTAAACGCAAAAATTTATCTTTGGCATGGGCATCAAACTGGAGTTCAGACAGTTTTAGAGTTAGAGTAACACGTCGAGCTTCAGGATTACGAATGGTTGGTATGGCTTGACAGTAATCGGTACTAACAACGTCAACGGGGAAATGACGTTTCCATTTTTCTTCAGTTTCCAAACCTTTTGGCCAGGGAGTACAAAACTTTTTTAAAGCTTCACACTGTTGTTTAATGGCCGGTGGTGTTAAATGTAGAAAATTGGGTATTTTCATCAATTCAGCGTTGGCGTATTTGGAAGGGGGTGCGGCACCCTTTTCTGTAAAACCTTGGCGTATAGGTAGGGGCACTGAGGCGGGATGGAATGAACGTGGTCCCGGCCAGACAGCAGTCCAATCTTGATCTGTAGCCATTTTTAAGGCGCGCGGTGGCATAACATCGGGCTTCTTATATTCCCTTCTCTTCAGTTGACGCTGTTGTGTCGCATGCAGATTAAGAACACGGAATTCTAAAAAATACATAGTTATTGTCTAGTATCCATCATTTTTTTCAGTTTTTCATTTAACTAACCTTCATCTTCCATATTGCCCTCACTACCGGCTGGAGAGGGTTGTGTACTGAGTAAACGCAGTGGCTTGGATGCATTTCCAGGGCGTAGATTACGCTCCAACAAACGTGTCAAGGAAGCCATATTATTTAATTAGTATATTTTATGTAATTTTTAGTAAAAACTTCTTAAATTCTTTAATATATTTTACTTTATATTTTTCCTCTTTTTTTTATTCGCGTGCCATTATTACGAAAACACTAGTACCAGAGCCCTGCGCCGACAAATATTAAAAACGGCGGCTTAAAATCGACTGTAATCCGGCTAAGTTTTTACGTGTTCAAAGATTTAAAAAATAAGTAAGAACGTATGTATATACTAGAGCCCTGCATGAGTGACTTAAATAATAAATTAAAACATTTGATTTTTTTCAAACACTGTGTTTGACTCACTCATTGTTTTATGAATGAAATGAATAGTATATTTGAAAATAAGGAATGTTAGTCAATACTCAATTCAAACGAAACAAGTAATGAGAGTGTTTGTGTGATTCAATTCAAGTAGTATACAGTGAATGAATCGAGTGAAAGCAAAACAATTTTTAAGTTCGACAAATTAACAGATTTTTTGAATATTACTTCGAATTTTCGAACTTAATTTCGAATAGTCGAAGATAATATAGTAGCGTCATCAACTGTACTTAACACTGCCAAATTTCAGCCAATTTGGTCCACGGAAACTGGTTTTATCAGCTTTAAATTTTTTTCGAACATGAGTTCGAATTTTCGAAAATTTTTTTTTAGTTTTTTGGACTCAAAGAATAATTTAAAAGCATAAAAAATTTTTCGAACATAACTTCGAATTTTCGAACTTAATTTCGAATATTCGAACATAATATTATCTTGTCATCAATTGTACTCAAGACTACCAAATTTCAGCGAATTCGGGCCACAGGAACTAGTTTTAACAGCATTCAAAATTTTCACCATTTATTCAAGAAAAAGTTTGAATCGATTCATTCGATTCAAACAATCTATTTTGTATTGTTTTAACATAAACAAATTGTTTACTCGCTCGATTTGAATGTAGTTGCACATTCACTTGATAGTACTCACAACGTTTGAGTATAACAAAACTTTGTAAATACTATTCTAAACAAACAATGAGTTGAGTGCAAAGCAATGAGTCACTCATTGTGTGTAGCAAATAGAGTTACTCATGCAGGGCTCTAGTATATACCTATAGTAGGGCAAGACCGACCACGGATTGTTTTTTTTTAATTAAAGCATTTAATTTAAAATTTATCCTAATTCAGAAATATTTTAAAATTTTTTTGACAAAAAAAGAGATTTTCTAAAAGAGGGGTTAATGGGGCAGGGGATTAATATGCCCCTATCCTTATAAATATTGGTAGAGGGGTTTACGTCCGCATTTAAGCTATTTATGTAGAATTTCATCGTGATATTATTTATTTATTTCAAGTAACATACTAAAATTAGTAAGACTAAGTTTTACTGATTTTTGAAGAACATTGAACATATTTATGAGCTCAAAAGCCCTATTCGGGAGGTGCGGTTGTATGGTTTAGGTGTACTTGTTTGTAAAATTTTTTAAATAAACATTCTTAAAAATAATCGTAATCGACCAAAATTATTATTATTCTTCCTGATTAATAGACGAAAAAAGGAAACTAAAATAGTTGATCGAAAAAAACAAAAATCGATTATTAGCTTTTCATTTTTTAAATATAAAAATTTTCTGTGATATTTTTTTTACATTTATTATCAATTTTTATTTATTTATTTAACAATATTCAATAACCTAGCCTATAGGCCATAAGCGGTTACAAATTTCTACTTTACAACAATTCTTCCAACACAAAATACATAATTATATAAAAAAAAAACAAATTTAAACTAAATTTTATATTATTATATATTTTTCTCTTTCTCTCATACACAAAATCAAAAGTTGGTCTGTTTAGGCCGGCACTATGTAAATAAAATTCTTAGCGCATTTTCGTATAATATAGTTGCCAACAGTGTTTTCTACAGACATCTGTTTTAGTTATTTGACAGATAAAAATAATGTCAAAAGTGACATATTTACAACATAATTTTACCACAGTGTATTATTTTACTTCGTACTACTCAAAGTATATTAATAAAGTAGCGACATCTCTTGTTGTACAACAACATCTACAACAACCACATGTATTTTGTTTTTGGAATAATTTAAGATTGTGTCAAAATAAAATTTCCTTGAACAACAATGTGAACAAAAAGCTTCCACAAGTAATTATTAATAAATATTTGTCATTTAATAATAACTATTTTTAGTGTTTGCTAAAATTTGTAAGTATTTATTTATACCTACATTTTATTATAAAATTTGTGTATAGTGGATTTGTAGAATTTTGTATAGAATAATATTTACATACATACATATTTTAGAACTATTTAACAGATTTTTGTTTACACCCAACAATACAGTTTATTCAATTTATTAACGAAATAATTTTGGCAGAAACCTATTAAAACAGATATATTATAGTTGGGGGTTTATTTAGCGGAATCGATTAAGCTACATACATATGTCCATTTGTCCGTATTTATGTTGAAATCCATTTTCTGAACTCCCCAGTTATCTGCGAGACACAAATCTTCAAAAAAATTATTATCATCGTACAATCGTACTTAATAATGATATTGGGAATAACGTTTTACATACATATATATAAATCATTCTGCGTAATTTTTTCCCGGATCGGGATCGGTCTATAATGGACCCCACATAATCGCTTAGTTCTTTAACAAATATGGGAAACAAAATAGAAATATGAACGATTTGAATATATTCAGATGATTTAGAGAAATTGTTTATGGATCAGCTTATAATTAGACTTAGCTCGCATATACGGGTGACTTCTGAAAATCACTTATTGCAAATAGTTCATTACTATTAAATGACATTAGGTAATATTAAATATTCTTAGATAAATGAATTTATAATAATAAACCAGAGAATTGAGTTTCTAAATTATTTTCCAGGCAATAATTATAAAGGATCGTATATAATATCAAATGCTTCAAATTCGAATATGTATTACAAATACAAAGCATTCGTTCTAATCTCGGATTATAAATAAAATAGAAACATGTACATATATACATAGATATGTATGTATCAATTTTAAGTTAAGATACACATACCACCTGATTTAATAATAAGTAAAAACACCCAATCCACCAATTGAGACACAACAAAAAACAATTTACATTCTTATCTATGTACATATTAATATTATTTATAATTTCTTTATATGTATAGTACACATTTATTATTCTTCGCTCAGTCAGAGATAAGAAACTTTGTCAACAAGTGTTTACAGTAAGATCTATCGTAGTGGTTGCAAGTCATTCGAAGAACGTATACCTATATAGAGAACAATGTCTTCAACTAGTTGTGGCGATATATCTAAAAGACGTGTATTATCTATACAAAGTCATGTTGTCCATGGTTATGTGGGCAATAAAAGTGCAACATTTCCATTACAAGTAACTGATGATGGAAGATACAATTATGGTTTGATATTAAAATACTTTTTTTTAATATTTAAAGGTTTTAGGCTTTGAGGTTGATGCTATTAATTCAGTACAATTCTCTAATCATACTGGCTATAAAGTAGTTAAGGGACAAGTGCTACAGGAAAAGGAACTAGGTTTGTTTAAAAAAATATATGTGTATGTATTTAATTTAAATACCAATCTTTTTTCAGACGATCTTTTCCAAGGTCTAGATAGCAATGATCTTTTAAAATGTTATTCACATTTATTAACTGGCTACATTGGCAATGCTTCATTCTTAAGGCAAGTAGCCAAAATTGTTACAAAATTAAGGGCAACTGAACCGAATTTAATATATGGTAAGTTGTGGATTTGTTGTAGTTTAGATTATTTTTTTATAACTT